CTTTAAACTTCTTTTAATATGTAAGGATCTTGGTCCACTTACATATTTCTTCCACTTACATATTTCTTAGGGCTGAAAGTTACATATTTCTTAGGGCTGGAAGTTCACCATGATTATTCTGGGATATTTTTGCATTAACACAAATATACTACATATTTGATTACGTCAACAGGACTTCAAGATTCATCCCCAGTTGATACTCCTTTGGAATTAAACGTCAAGTATCATATTCAAGACGGAGATCTTCTTCTTGATCCATCTCTTTATAGACAATTAGTTGGCAATTTGAATTATCTGACTATTACAAGGCCCGATATTTCTTTTACAGTTCGGCAAGTCAGTCAATTCATGAATACTTCACATCACTTACATCTGGTGACAGTTCGTCGAATCATTCGCTATATTCTTGGCACATCTTCTCGGGGTTTATTCTTTCCTACTGGCTCTCCTGTACGCCTTGTTGCTTACAGTTATGCTGATTGGGCTGGTTGTTCAGACACTCGACGCTCTATAACTGGTTGGTGTATGTTTCTTGGCGATTCTTTGATATCTTGGAAAAGTAAGAAACAAGACCATGTTTCAAAATCTTCTACTGAGTCTGAATAACCATTGTTGATATCTTGGAAAAGTAAGAAACAAGACCATGTTTCAAAATCTTCTACTGAGTCTGAATATCGGGCTATGTCCACTGCTTGCTCAGAGATTGTTTGGTTACATGGGTTACTTGCTGAAATTGGATTTCCTCTGACTCATTCTACTCCTCTGCATGCTGACAACACTAGTGCCATAAAAATTGCTACAAATCTAGTTTTTCATGAACGTACCAAAACATATCGAAGTCCACTATCATTCTATTCGAGAGGCTGTAAATACAGGTGTCATTTCTCTTCCACATGTCCCCACTGCTCTTCAAATTGCTGATATGTTCACAAAATCTATGACAAACGTCATCAATTTCTCGTTGGCAATATGCTTCTTGATCGCCAACATCAATTTGAGGGGAGATGTTAGTATACTATTATAATTAATCGACTATACTATTGTAAGAAATTGTAAATGACCATCAATTAGGGAGCTAATTAAGGCCGACTATATACTATGTTGTAAGATAGCTGTAAATGACCATCAATTAGGAGTCAATGGGCATCAATTAAGGAGGGAATTTAGGAATTTATTCCCTAATTTGTGAGATACTTCACCCTATTACCCAATCAGCTTGAAGGAATGGCAAGCAAATTCTACTGAAATTTTATTAAAATTCTATTGAAATCTAGCAGGTTTGTCAGCCATGACTTAATCTGCAACCTCTACTCTCAACTCAAAATCAATATTTATATAACACTGTAATGAAAAATAAAAATAAATTATTTTTTACTTACCCTTAAGAAAGAAAAGAAATGAGAAGATATCTAAATTAATAATGATATTCACTTTAGCTACATAAATATGCACATAAATTCTTAACACCTCAAAATGTAATTCAAAACAGAAATATAGTTCTTTTTTTTTTTTTCGGTTGCATAAACACTATTTTCTTTCAAGTCAAACAGATTTAGAATATAAGAGAAAAAAATATCAAAAAAATTAAAAATACTTAATCATCTATTTATTGCAATAAGAAAAAAATATCAAAAAAATTAAAAATACTTAATCATCTATTTATTGCAATAGAGATATAAATCTCTTAATAAAATTAAAGTGTTAACAGTTACAAATTAATTCAATAATGAAAAAAATTTGAAATAAAAAATATCGATATGTGTTTATTTAAAAAATAATTTTTATAAATTATATTTAATTAATTAATAAAATGTAATGTTCTAATTACACTAAAATTATTTTAAGATATTCCAAATCTCATTGTTCCCCTATTCCCACATTTATTATATATAGTATAGATATATATTCATCAACAACAAAAGACTCCCCTGTTCTCACGTTTATATATATAATATAGATATATTTATCAAGAGCAAAAGGCTCAACCACCTTGCTACCAACATGATACCATGAAAAAAAATATACATTGAAATTATAATAAAAACTTCATAATTTTAAAAAGGGAGAAATTAAAGTGTTAATGGAATCATAATTTAAAAACTTCATAGTTAGTTGAATTATATAATAAAAATTTTAGTTGAATCATAATAAAACTTAATAATTTAGAAATCAATTTCTCAAAAAGGACAATGAAAGTGAGACAATTTTCGTTAAATTTGATATTGAGGAAAGAATCAAAGTATTTATCAACAGTAAAAGACTTGCATATTCTCACATTTATATATAGTATAAATATATTTATCAAGAGCATAAGGCTCAGCCACTTTGCTGTCAACTTAAAATGCTGATTTGAGAAAAATTAAAATCAAACCAATCCATCAAAAATTTCAAACCAATCCAACCCTTTAGCAACAGTTTGGTTTGATTTGGTTTAGTTTAGCGATCTAGGCAATTTGAAAAAAAGAAATTAAAATTCCACATTTATCTAGTAAACAAGGAAAAAAATTAACATCATATAAAATATGAAAAATAAATTCATAAAAATTACGCCATAAAATACACATGATTTTGAATATGTATTCTTTTGTTATAGTGTGAAAAATATTATATAGAATTTAAAGTTTGATGTAATTACATCTATTACTAAAAATTAAAAAAAAAATTTATAGTTTTGCTTGTGTATATATATTAATCTTTAATATTTTAAACATTTTATAATATAATTATATAATTCCTAATCTAATTAATCATAAAGTATTATTCAATTTATTATCCAATATAAACTACCTCGTAATTTACTATCCAATATAAATTAATCAATACAAAGCAAATTTTCATTCAAAAATAATTTTATATATATATGGTTCAGTTTGAGCGATTTTGAGAATAAAACCTTAAACCGAAACAAAAGCTCGGATTTTGAATAAAAAAAATCAAACCAAATCATTAATCTTTTAAAATTGAAATTTTAGATGGATTTGGACGGTTTAATGATCACCCCTATTAGATAGTTCGAAGCAAACCATCTTTCACCAATATTATACTCCAAAAAAAAAAAAAACAAAAAAACAAAAAAGCGGGGCATGCTTTATTTCTGTTAAAAAAAAAAAAAAAAAAAAAAAAAAAAAAAAAAAACAAAAAAACAAAAAAGCGGGGCATGCTTTATTTCTGTTAAAAAAAAAAAAAAAAAACGTACAATGTACTGGGAAGGAAGATTATAATTGTAAAAGCACGGGCGGGAGCAGAATTCTTGGTGTGCAGACGAAAATGGGCATTTTGTTCAATCTAATAGATTTCGCACCCATACTGTTCGTAAAAGATGAGTTTAAAAATTTTTCACAATTAAAAATGAGCATATGTAAAGACTCATATTCTTAACTAGAGTATATCTTTCTGACTTATTCTAATGGAGTTAGATTTTCTAATTGTACTAATCTAAGTCTCTACGTTTAAGAAGACTATCAAAAATTACTAACCATAGTTGACTAATAATTAAGCTCATAAACTACCACGTACACTATCTAATATTTCCAATCAACTATTATTACCTCTGATAATAGGTAATTAAGTACATATAGACCATCTAACATTGCAAATTAACTAGGCTCATAAACTAAGCAGACTACTAATTAGGTCTCTATGATTAAGAAGACTATCTAAAATTACTAAATGACTATAGTTGACTAGTTAACTATAATATTGTATACTTAACTAATTAATTATAATTAACTATAATATTGTACACTAAACTAATTAATTATAATTAACTCCACTATTGCTAATTAACTACAGTTAACTAACTAATTATTAGTTATAGACCATCTAAAATTAAATTACTTGTTAAAGTACATAAACTAAGAACATAGACTATCCAACACATTAATTAATTATAGTCAATTACTAATTACTATAGTAACTATAGTTACTTTACTAGTATAAACTAAGTTGACTATCGAAATTATAAAATTAACTCCACTATTGCTAATTAACTACAGTTAACTAACTAATTATTAGTTATAGACCATCTAAAATTAAATTACTTGTTAAAGTACATAAACTAAGAACATAGACTATCCAACACATTAATTAATTATAGTCAATTACTAATTACTATAGTAACTATAGTTACTTTACTAGTATAAACTAAGTTGACTATCGAAATTATAAAATTAACTCCACTATTGCTAATTAACTACAGTTAACTAACTAATTATTAGTTATAGACCATCTAAAATTAAATTACTTGTTAAAGTACATAAACTAAGAACATAGACTATCCAACACATTAATTAATTATAGTCAATTACTAATTACTATAGTAACTATAGTTACTTTACTAGTATAAACTAAGTTGACTATCGAAATTATTCTTACCGCCGCACTTGACGAGGAAGAAAATTACAAAAACTACCAAATACCTTCAACACAAATCTGCATAGTTCATTGCACATGAGTCATTTGGGTCCCACCAAAAATTTTAAAAAACCCCCTTCGAATAACATATCATCACTGATAGAAAAATTTTCACTTCCATGACACAATGGAACATCTCACATGCAATTTGGCCAAAATTGCCTTCTTTCAATAAAGTGATATGTATTAGAGAGAGAAAAAAAAAAAAAATCAAAGCTGACCGATGTTGTCTTAACCGCAGTTAATTCAAACTACTTGACCATGTGGTTGCGTCAAGTTAGATCATCACCGAGTACCATTTTCTATGTTATTTGCTACACAGTATAAACCCCTCATTTTTTTCATTATCTTTTCACCTTAATCTTGAATTGATAGTTCTTCAACCAGACTAAAATTGACAAATGCTACCAACAATGTTCACCGAATATAAAACTAAAGCGGACCTTGAATATTCAGAAGCTCACGAGTCACCCACCAAAGTTCGCTAGTGTTTATTCAATTGTCTAATTCACACTAAAAAAATAACAGCATCATCTCAACCATGCAAAGACACACAAGAGAGAGAAAGGGATGATAGAAAGCCGATATGCATACCAGCTGCTGGTGAGTCCTTTGTTTTGTTTTCATTAACAAAAAAAGAGAAGTGCTCGCTTTTGCCACTTTAGAGTGCATCAAATTTTTTGCACATACTTTAACATAATGGTTTGACATCAAGACACTAAACCATGAGCAGCGTTTTTTCTTAGTTCTGACTAAAAGATTAAAAAAATTAAGCAGCTGCCTTCTCAATTACTTCTCAATCTCAAAATTACACTTTTGGGATCATCACACAATAAATCGAACCGGACACAATAAAATGCATCCTATTCACTTGATAGTTGATTGATACATTAAAAGCATCAAAAGAACGATACCCGCTACAGCAATTCTCATTACTTGACCGCATGAATCCCTTGGATTTTTATTGCTGTCCTTTCGTCTCTCTAAAACATGAATTGACAGCTCTTGAACCACAGACTAAAATTGACAATTGCAAACCATGGCTCTAAAAACCAATCCAACGCAATATCTCACTCAGCATTGCAATCAATCAGAGATAAAAATTATGACAAACCTTGTTCACATACCAACAATGTTCACAAAATGTAAAACTAAAGTAGACCTTGATTTAAGCATATAAAAGGAGACTCAGATTCACCTTTTTCAAGCAGAAAAGTGAACATGACAACCATGGCTGCAACAAAAGAGCTCAAAATCATTCACCTTTTTCAAGCAGAAAAGTGAACATGACAACCATGGCTGCAACAAAAGAGCTCAAAATCAAAAGCTCCCGAGTCACCCACCCAACGTTAGATAATGTTCATTCAATTATCCGATTTTCATTAAAAAAATAACAGCATCATCACAGCCATGCAAAGACCCACGAGACAAAAAAAGAGATGATAGAAAGAAAGGTATAGCTATTGACAAACAAGGGTCAGCTCTGCAATCAATCAGAGTAGCTCTCCAAGAGCTAAGCCTCACCCTTCACTGGAAAAATCTCCTCGCAGCAAACAGAACCTAAACAAAGATATTTAGAGAAATGGAGGCCCAGATCAGATAGCCTCAGTATCAAACAAGAAAGAAACACCACCACATCATGGCTGCAGCCAATAGCTATCAGGAAAATAGGGTAAAACCCATATTTAAGGACTGCCAAAGGCTGTCTAAGTTCAGGAACCACGAGTGGACTTAAGCCGCTGCTTCAAAAGCCTACCCCGCCCAAGGATGGGTGTTTCTTTTCTAATCTGATTTTAGGTCACTGATAATATCGTCATAGCCTCATTAAGTTACTAAAACTTCCAATCATTACATCCAAACAAAGGGTAGAAGTTGCAAAGTTCAGTGCATTTGGCCTCTCTATATGTACAGGGAGAAGGAGCTGTTGGCAAATAAGAAGATAAATCACAGGCTCCACTTTTTATCAGAGAGATGAAGTCGACCACCCTGAATCCTTCAATCTCACTGAGAGTAAAACCTCATTCTTAAACAATGAGCTAAAATTTCCACTGTACAAAAAACAGAGAAGTGCTCGCTTTTTTTTCAAGTGCATCATATATTTTTGCACATACTTTAACATAATGCTTTGACATTAAGACAAAACCATAAATACCATTTCTCACTAGTTTTTTGATTAAAAGATTAAAAAAATTAACAAGCAGCATTCACAATTACTTCTCAATCTCACAATTTTGTGCTTTTAGGATCACCACTACCACCACACACATGCAAAACATCCGTGTACAATAAATCAAACCAGACACAATAGAATGCATCCTATTCACTTGATAGTTGATTGATACATTAAAAGCATCAAGAGTGATACCTGCCACAGCAATTCTCATTACTTAGCAGCATAAATCCCTCACATTTTTATCGTTGCCTTTTCATCTCTCTAAAACTTGAATTGATAGTTCTTGAACCAGACTAAAATTGACAATTGCAAAGCATGGTTCTAAAATTATCTCACTCACCATTGCAAGATTAAGAAACAAGGATTAAAAATAACCAACAATGTTCACAAAATGTAAAACTAAAGTCAGACCTTGATTTAAGCATATAAAAGGTGAACATGACAACCATGGCTGCAACAAAAGAGCTCAATGTCAGAAGCTCACGAGTCACCCACCCAATGGTGACAACCATGGCTGCAACAAAAGAGCTCAATGTCAGAAGCTCACGAGTCACCCACCCAATGGTCACTAGTGTTCCTTCAATTGTCTAATTTTCACTAGAAAAATAACAGCATCATCTCAGCCATGCAAAGACACACAAGAGAAAGACAGATATGATAGAAAGATGGATATAGATATTGACAAGGGTCAGCTCTGCAATCAATCAGAGTAGCTCTCCAAGAGCGAAGCCTCACCCTTTGATTGAAATATATCCCCGGAAACAAGCAGAACCTAAAATGAGAGAGATTTGGAGAAATGGAGGCTCGGATCATATAAGCCTTTGTATCAAACAAGAAAGAAACACCACCACATCATGGCTGCAGCCAAGAGCTACCAGGGTAAAACCTGTATTTAAGGACTGCTAAAGGTTATCTAACCTCAGGGAAGAGTGAAATTAAGCCACTACTTCCGAAGGCTACCCCCACCAGACGATGGGTGTTTCTTTTCTAGTCTGATTTTAGGTCACTGATAATATCATCATAGCCTCGTTAAGTTACTAAACCTTCTAATCATTCCATCCAAAAAAAGGGTAAAAGTGCAGTGTTCAGGGTAAAATTTATGCATTGGCCTCTCTGTATGTACAGGGAGAAGGGGCTGTTGGCAAAATAAGGGACAAATCACAGGCTTCGCTTCTTATCACCACCCTGAAACCCTCAACCTCACTGAGAGCAAAACCTCGTTCTCAAACGAAACCCTCAACCTCACTGAGAGCAAAACCTCGTTCTCAAACTAATGAGCTAAAATTTTGCAATGTATTAAAAAGAGAGAGAAAGAAAGAGATGAAGTGAGGCTCAGATTCGCCTTTAATCAAACAACAAAAGGAACAAAGCGAATGTGGCTGCAATGATGGGATCTATCTACAAGAGATGGAAAAATATTCACATTGCCCCGCCAAACAATCGAAATTGTTCCTTTAACGTTTGGATCTTGCACTCTAGAAAATAAGAGTCGTCATAGCCTCTTTGTAAGCAGCAACAGAACCTTGGCAGAGATTGAACGTATCAGATCTCCGATCAAGATTACGCTGGTAATATAGTATTAATGGAACAGAGAGAGTAATAATTGACAATATACATACATACACATACGTGGTTGTTTTATAAACCGACGGTGAAATCATCGGCTCCGCAGTCGTTCAGAGAGGAGCAAGTTATGTGTTGGCAAAATCATAATAACTTCAAAAGATTAGGCGTTTTACGAAAATATTCCGCCAACTTGCCCTTGTTTTTTCAGTCAAAGGATAAACTCATCAAAAAAAGGAGAGAGAAACAGAGCAGAGCCAACTCTTTCATGAAGGGCAACGGAGAGTCGGAGACAAACCTACAGCTACAAGAAGGTGAAGAGCCATGGCTTATATAATTAATTGATTTTGATAATACGTAAGATTGATAAGCCAGGCCCAACTTAGCCCTTCAAGAAATCCACCAACGTGTATAAATGACGTTTTATTTGTTATTTTCTGGAATTTTTTTTATTACGATAATGTCATATTTGAATATCTCCAAATTGAAACAACTTTTTCCAGTAAACTAAATAAAGTAAAAGAAATTATTCTTCAAACAAACATTGACATCAAACAATTTTCCAACCAACAAATGAATAAAAATCCATCTAATTTTACGAAAAAACTAATCATCCATGTCTGGCTTCAAATGCTGAAGGATATTCCAGCATAAGTTGCAGCAAACCCTATATAAGCACATTGTTTGACTTATCTTTCAAATTTGCTAGAATTCAACGAATAAAAAAAAAAAAAATCAATAGGCAATTTTCAAAATCTATCCATAAAACAGCAGCTGAATGTAAAGGGAAAGAAACAAAGATCCTAAAAAAACTACAAATTGATACAAACAATCATGTCAAAGAAGCGGAACAAGCATCCAGCCCTGCAAAGCAAACTTTCAAAGACCAGAATGACACTCAAACAACTACGTAATAATTCCAAAATTAAATTCTCCTTCGGCAACATGCTAGCAATGAAAGCCAGAATGACAAAATAAAAATGTTCAAAATCAAGTGCGAGCATGAAGAAAATGGAACTGAAGTACCTGTTATGTTATCAAGTGCGAAGCATGAAGAAAAATTGGAACTGAAGTACCTGTTATGTTAACCTTTTTTATGTCTAGCCACATACAAGCCATAAAGAAAACAGGAAAAGAATACAAGCGTTAAAGCAGGCACCCTTTAGTTTGTCCAAATACAAGTTGGTTCGATGTAGGCCAGAACAACTATCAAGGAAGTCACAATTAATTAAAATAGTATACAAGTTCCACAATCAAAGTGAAACTACCTAAGTGGGGATTCACTAGAACAAACAGCAAATTTAACGTCACCATATCGGACAAATTCGGAGAGCTAAAAACATCATAGTGGACTCAGACTCGTAGGACTGTGAAAGCAAATGCATAAAAAGATTTTAACAAAAAGCAGAAATCATTTAGGAAGACACCTTAGCCATGAAAAAGCCAGGGAATGACAAAATAAAAATGTCTCAAATCAAGTTGCGAGCATTGAAAAGAAAATGGAACCTGAAGTACTGAAGTACCTGTTATGTTAACCTTTTTTATGTCTAGCCACATACAAGCCATAAAGAAAACAGGAAAAGAATACAAGGTTAAGCAGGCACCCTTTAGTTGTCAAAATACAAGTTGGTCGATGTAGGCCAGAACACTATCAAGGAAGTCACAATTAATTAAAAGTATACAAGTTCACAATCAAAGTGAAACTACTAAGTGGGGATTCACTAGAACAACAGCAAATTATAACGTCACCATATCGTGTGACAAATCAGGAGAGCTAAAACATCATAGATGACTCAGACTCGTAGGACTGTGAAGCAAATGCATAAAAAGATTTTAACAAAAAGCAGAATCATTAGGAAGACACCTAGCAATGAAAGCCAGAATGACAAAATAAAAATGTTCAAAATCAAGTTCAAGAATCAATGTGCGAGATTGAAGAAAAATGGAACTGAAAGTTAAACCTTGTTTATGTTAACCTTTTTTATGTCTAGCCACATACAAGCTAAAAGAAAACAGGAAAAGAACTACAGGTTAAGCAGGCCCCTTTAGTTGTCCAAAATTTACAAGTTGTCGATTTGTAGGCCAGAACAAAACTATTCAAGGAATGTCACAATTAATTAAGAGTATTTAACAAGTTACAATTCAAAAGTGAAACTAACTAAGTGGGGATTCACTTAGAAAGACAGGCAAATTTATAACGTCAACCATATCGTGGACCAAATTCAGGGAGAGCTAAAACATCATAGATGACTCAGACTCGTAGGACTGTTTGAAAGACAAATGCAAAAAAAGATTTTTAACAAAAAGCAGGGAAAAGCAGAATCATTAGGAAGACACCTAGCTGAATATGATACACTGCCTACTATTTGTTCATGTACTATAGATCATAACAGAAACGATAAACTAGCATCCTACTCAATTGATACATCAAAAGCATCAAGAAGGATGCCTACCACGACAATCCTTCATAAATTATAACTTCATTCTCACGGTTGGCCTTCTACGAACACAGACCAAAATTGAAAATCTTAGTGCAACATATTGGTAAAAAAAAGTTCAATATAAAATATATACATAAATAAACTCACAAATTTGATTTTTTAATATTGAATTTTCATGTTCAGTATCAACTACAATTTAACATGACTAAATCAAATTATATGCTTTAAATTAATTTAGACCAAACAAACAAAGGATAGTAACATCATATCCACAGCTAAGGCCAAGAGCTATTTGTCAAACAGACAAAGCAAAATCAGAAGCCAAAAGTCATCCAGCCAATGGTCGCATCTATTGCCTACAATCAAAGTCACCCAGAAAATGGTACACCCAGAAAATCGTATCAGCACAGCCTCAAATACACAAACAAATGATATGATTTAAATTCATTTAGACCAAACAAACAAAGCATAGTAACATCAAATCCACGGCTAAGGCCAAGAGATATTTGTCAAGGCCAAGAGATATTTGTCAAACAGACAAAGCAAAATCAGAAGCTCAAAATCATACAGCCAATGGTCGCATCTATTCCCTACAATCAAAGTCATACAGCAAATGGTATCATCACAGCCTCAAATACACATGCACATACACATACAAATGATATAATTTAAATTAATTTAGACAACAAACAAAGGATAGTTACATCACAGCCACGGCTATTTGTCAAACAGATAAAGCAAAATCAGAAGCTCAAGCTCATCAAGCCAATGGTCGAATCTATTCCCTACACTCAAAGACACACAGCAAATGGTATCATCACAGCCGCAAATACACATGCACATACACATACAAATGATATAATTTAAATTAATTTAGACCAAACAAACAAAGGATAGTTACATCACATCCACGGCTAAGGCCAACAGATAGTTACATCACATCCACGGCTAAGGCCAACAGCTATTTGTCAAACAGACAAAGCAAAATCAGAAGCTCAAGCTCATCAAGCCAACAGTCGAATCTATTCCCCACACTCAAAGACACACAGCAAATGGTATCATCACAGCCTCAAATACACATGCACATACACAGACTGAGAGATACTGCTGAATAAAGGGACACTTCGGTTTTATAATTTTTAGAAAAATATTTTCCAAGAAAAGGCCCAAACGGAAGCAGAGAAATCTGTAGAAAGAGAAGGCTCAGATAATATATGCTTTCAGATCGGACAGGACAGAAACACCACAACACCAGGGCTGCAACAACAAAAGGTTGCCTCGCCAAGAAATTGAGTATTTCTCCTCGAGTCTAACTTTTCAGGCTCACTGAAGATATCATTATAGCCTCGCCAGTCCAAGACAGCTACTCACACACACAAGAAAGAAAGCAGACATATTGGTATAAGGGCTGTTGCCAACATAAGAAACGCAATCAGTAATCACTGGCTCCGCTACCTATGGCTCCGCTACCTATCAGAGAGGAACAGATTTGGGACCAACCTGAAATTCAACTGCCCTCACTGAGAGCCAAAGCCTCGTACTTAAATCATTCACCCGCAAATCTTAACACAAAATTCATGCAAAAGCAATCGCGAATTGTTTTTTTATAAAAAAATGTTTCAAAATCAAGCGAAAAATCAAGTTGAAGTACCTGTTATGTTAAACCTTTTTTTCATGGCTAGCCATATAATAGCTATCAGGAAAACAGGAAAAATACAAGAGTAAGCAGGCAGCCATTAGTTGTCAAAATATAAGTTAGTGGATATAGGCTAGAACAACAAAGAAATCTGCAGAAAGGGAAGCCCAAACAGAAACAGACAAATCTATAGAAAGAGAAGGCTCAGATCAGATATGCTTTGAGATCAGACAGGACAGAAACACCACAACACCAGGGCTGCGACAACAAAAGGTTGCCTCGCCAAGTAATAAACACCACAACACCAGGGCTGCAACAACAAAAGGTTGCCTCGCCAGGAAATTGAGCATTTCTCCTCCAGTCTGACTTTTCAGGCTCACTGAATATATCATCATAGCCTCGCCGGTCCCAGACAGCCACTCATACACACAAGAAACAAAGTAGACATATTGGTATAAGGGCTGGTGCCAACATAAGAAACGCAATCAGTAATCACTGGCTCCGCTACCTATCAGAGAAGACAGATTCAACCACCCTGAAATCAACTGCCTTTCACTGAGAGCAAAGCCTCGTACTTAAATCATTCACCCGCAATCTTAACAAAATTCATGCAAAAGCAATCGCAAATGTTTTTTTATAAAAATGTTCAAAATCAAGTTGAAGTACCTGTTATGTTAAACCTTTTTTTCATGGCTAGCCATATAATAGCTATTCATGGCTAGCCATATAATAGCTATCAGGAAAACAGGAAAAATACAAGAGTAAGCAGGCAGCCATTAGTTGTCAAAATATAAGTTAGTGGATATAGGCTAGAACAACAAAGAAATCTGCAGAAAGGGAAGCCCAAACAGAAACAGACAAATCTATAGAAAGAGAAGGCTCAGATCAGATATGCTTTGAGATCAGACAGGACAGAAACACCACAACACCAGGGCTGCGACAACAAAAGGTTGCCTCGCCAAGTAATTGAGTATTTCTCCTCTAGTCTGACTTTTCAGGCCCACTGAATATACCATCATTGCCTCGCCAGTCCCAGACAGCCACTCACACACACAAGAAAGAAAGCAGACATATTCGTATAAGGGCTGTTGCCAACATCAGAAACTTAATCAGTAGTCACGGGCTCCGCTACCTATCAGAGAGGACAGAGTCAACCACCCTGAAACCAACCGCCTCTCACTGAGAGCAAAGCCTCGTACACTTAAATCATTCACCAGCAATCTTAACAAAATTCATGCAAAAGCAAGCAAAAGCAATCGCGAATGTTTTTTTAGAAAAATGTTCAAAATCAAGTGCGAGCAAGAAAGGAACTGAAATTGAAGTACCTGTTATGTTAACCTTTTTTTATGGCTAGCCACATACTAGCCATCAAGAAAACAGGAAAATACAAGAGTAAGCCGGCAGCCATTAGTTGTCAAAATATAAGTTGGTGAATATAGGCCAGAACACTATCGAGGAAGTTTCAATTGATTAAGAGTATACAAGTTCACAATCAAAATGTAACTACTAAGCGGAGATTCACTAGAACAGCAGCAAATCATATTTCACTGTATTGTGTGACAAATGAGGAGCGCTAAAACGTCATAGATGACTCAGACTCGTAGGATTGCGAAGCAAATGCATAAGAAGATTCTAACAAAAAGCTGATTATGATACATTGCCTGCCATTTGTTCATGTACTATAGATAAAAACAGATATGATAAACCAGCATCCTACTTAATTTGGTTATAAGGCTGTTGCCAACATAAGAAACGCAAATCACTTAACACTGGCTCGCTTACCTATCAGAGAGGGACAGATTCAACCACCCTGAAATCCAACTGCCTCTCACTGAGAGCAAAGCCTCGTACTTAAATCATTGTACAAGCAATCTTAGGTAAACCATAATTTCATGCAAAAGCAATTGGGAATTTTTTATTTTAGAAAAAAAAAATAACAGAAACAAAAAAATAACAGAACAAAAATCGAAGAAAATAAAGAGCGAGAGATTGGGGTCAGATTCACCTTTAATCAGACAAGAAAAGGAACAAAGGGATTGCGGCTGCAGAAATGGAGCTCTCTATTTGAGAAAAGGAAAAAGCCATTGTCGAATAGAATCTCCATACTGCCCCGCCAGCGATCAAACTATTCCTTAATGTCTTTCGTTTGCACTCTAAAACCTAAAAATTGTCACAGCCTCTTTACAAGAAAGAAAGCCCGAAAAAGAAGAAAATGATGATGATAATGATCTATTTATCTATATATATACACACAGACAAACGGCGGCTATTACACAAACGATGTTTAAATCATCGGCTCCGCAGTCGTTCAGGAAGGCGGAGCAACCGCCTTGTCTGCCGTCTCTCTGAGGGCAAAGGCTCATTCTTAAGAGTGCGTACAATGGGCGCATCTTGCATTTTATTTATTTATTTACATATTTTGTGGTAACTTCGTGTTTTCATTTTATTTTATTCCGTGATTACCCTTTTGAGTGTGCGACGTAGGGCGGTGGAGCATAACGGTAACTTGGTCATTAAAATATTATTTTAAAATTTTAAAATATTATGATGTATATGGATAAAACTGGGATGGCAATAAGGGTAATTTGGTAAATAAAATCATACGCGCGTAGAATTCTCCTCCTATCACTTGCATCATAAATGCAAACAGAACAGTGCCAAGTTCATATGTATACGACATAGCTTCTCATTCGATTCCCTGGTAAAATAGATAAATAAATAAAATAAAAGTTTTGAATCAAGAAATAGTTACACAATCCATTTCATTCAGAATCAAAACCCTTGATCAATCCTTTATTCATTCCTATGGCTTCACATCAAGGCAGCAAACAGTTCTTTTACAACTAATGCAAGTTCAACCGGTTAAACCAAAACAACTTAATTAGCCTAACCTGCAGTGATAGAATTTTACGAGATATCGGCTTGATCAAGCGTATCTACCAAAACCATCCTTCTAGGGAACCTCGGAGGCAGTCTCAAATACATAGCATCCTCAATCTCAATTGGCAAATGCGTTGCAACAAACACAATCCCTCCCTTCTTTCTATGCTCTGCAATAATATATTCGAGCAATTTTACCCCTTCATCATCTATATGTTGCAACAAACACAATCCCTCCCTTCTTTCTATGCTCTGCAATAATATATTCGAGCAATTTTACCCCTTCATCATCTAATGCGACAGAAGGCTCATCCGGTAACCAAATTGGTTGGTCAATGGCCAGTAGTATTGCAAGTTGCAGCCTCTTCCGTTGGCCCATTGACAGCATTCTTGCCTTCTCTTTTGCCAATCTTCCGAGCCCTATCAACTCAATAGTAGGCATAGAATTCTGTTGCTTGCCTTCAAGAATCTCAAACCGCTGAACATTGTCATGGACAGTAAACTTTTGTTTGATGGCATCTTTCAAGGAGAGCCATTTAAGTTAAAGCTTATATTTTTGGAAAACTCCAGATTCTGTCACGTCATGACCATTCCAGAGGATCTGACCTGCAAAAGACTTAGAAAATCCAGCCAGCATACGTAAGAATGTGGTCCTGCCTGAGCCATTGCTACCGGTTAGAACAAGTGCACCTCCATCATGAACAGAGACGTTTACGTGTCGCAAGATTTGTTGGCCATTTATCATGCAGGAGACATTGTCAAGAAGGATCTAAGGAAGTGGTGGCTTTCAAAGAGACATCAAGCTTTAAAAATAAAAAGGAGTTTTGGTACTTCCAATTTTGCAGACTTTCACTGTTTAGAATCTGAAGACGATGCTAGAAGCCAAGCCTATCAATCCTCTAAAGTAATATCTTGTAGAACAACACTTAACCCTACGATAACTTTAATGCGAGTGGGGAAAAATAAAAGAAACCTGACATCATATACAATGAAAGCAAATCATTAGTTTGAAGGTGGACTGGAAAAGGAAAAAGGGGGGGGGGGGGGGGGGTAACTAAAAGTAGATCCAACTGCGCAAAATAAAGTTCAAAAAATAGTAAAAGGCAAATGTGTTATAAATGAAACTAGTTGCTAAGTCAATATTATGGAAATAGAATTTCATTTGAACCAAAGAAGGAAGATTAATTGTAGGTACTTGGTTACTTCGCAAAATGATATTATGCAAATCAACTAAACAAATTAGCAAAATCCAAGAGAGCAAACTGAATTGAACTTTGTACATATAAACGAAAACTGAACATGAACTAAGCAAACAACAGAGACACAGAGCTTTAACAATTTGCTTCGAATCTATTAGCAAATGAGAATTAAGCTACCAAATCCCATTTAAAAGATCAGAAGACAAGATCAAGAAATATTGAAAGACTGACAACAGTCAATCATATTCTCAAGATAGCTTTGTATAAAGTAAGATGAAAAACAACTAATTTGTTATTAGAGAGCGGTTTCGACATAAAGAAAAATGAAAAACAACTCCATTTAAGATGAAAAACAACTAATTTGTTATTAGAGAGCGGTTTCGACATAAAGAAAAATGAAAAACAACTCCATTCTTTATTAGGATAATGCACCGCAAAATTGGTTACGAGCATGCTTCAACCACTTCTAAATGCTTTCATTAACATCCAAAGATAATAATTCACAAATAAAAGGATCTTTGGCCTTAGAGACCTCAAGTATTATTATTCTTGACACTTGCAAGTTGCATCCCCTAATATATTTCTATATGCAAAAATAGAATTTGAAGTAAGCTGTAAATAATCGAAATAATTTTATAGGCTTTCAAAATGAAATGTGAAGGAAACTGATGAATAATGATACTAAATCAACAAAAAAATCGATCTCTAATGATGACAAGTATTGAAAAATCTCCATTCAAGTGCATTCAATCAAATGATTCTCAGAATTTTAACAATTGCTTGCATATGTCACTAATCACTAAATTAATATCAAAGGGTTAATAAAATAGAACAATTTCAAAAATTAAAACAGTAAAATTTGTATGTGCCATACTCTTGACAGATAAAATGGGTATTCAGACATTAGGCCGAATGGTCCCATGGTTCTAAATCAATTTCCATTTTAGCCTTTCTATTTTTATTTTCTTCTTGTTTTTATGAAGTTTTGGTTTTGTTTCGTTATTATTGGCCAAGTTCAATTTCAAAAATTTATATAAATATATCAATATAGATAAGAAAGAAAAAATGGAGGAAAGTCATAATTATTTATCTCTCTCTATATATTAATCACAATAAGCTTGAAAAAAGAATTCTCAAATTGATGTAATCAAAATTTGTAGAAAAAAAAAAGGGTAAAAAAAAGAGATGTGGATATCAATCTTTTGAAACCTTAAACTGAACATGCTACATCTATGTTCAAATATAACCAATTTTCAGAAAAAAATGTAAAATCCACAGTCTTGGCGGAGTAGACCAGATCCTCAGACTCGTTTTTATCCATTCATTTTCATATAAAAGCTCACTCCTACTTCACTCTCCAATGCGCACTATCTCTTTGATCATCTTTCTCTACTGTAAAACCCCAAAAAAAGAAGAAAACAAGAAAACAAAAATGCATTCTTCTCTTCTTTTCTCTTTCTGCCTTCTTTTCTCCTCGGTCTCTGCTTTTAACATTACCAAAATGCTGAACCAATATTCCGATTACGGAACCTTTAACGATTTATTATCGAAAACGAGAATAGCTGAAGCCATTAACAGCCGCAGAACAATTACAGTTCTTGCCGTCGATAACGGTAATCTGGGCGCGCTTACCGGATATTCAACGGACGTTCAAAAGCATATCTTGGATCTCCATGTCGTCTTGGATTACTATGATGAAACAAAGCTTAAAAATATAAAGAAGAAAAGTGCATTGCTTACCACCCTTTATCAGTCTACTGGGTCAGCCAGAGGCCAACAAGGGTTTTTGAATGTAACGAACGATGGTGGTTCGATTCGTTTTGGTTCTGCTGTTAAAGGTTCTGGGCTCAACGCCAATTTGGTTGGATCCGTTACGTCACAGCCTTATAATATTTCCGTTTTGCAAGTTAGTAATATTATTATTCCTCAAGGTCTTGACACCTCAAATACACCACCACCGGCAAAGACACCGTCGCCATCAGAAGCTCCAGAACCGTCAGCTGAGACTCCTACACCTGAAGCACATTCTTCAGTTTCATCTCCTCCGGCTGGCGATAGTGCTGACGGTCCGTCTGCTGATGGTCCCGCGGCGGATAGTCCTCAGGGCGGTGCAACTGCCATTGGTGGGGCAGGAAATTGCATATTTGCTGTGATTTTCATGGTTTTGTTCTCTGCATGGGCTAGCTAAGAAGAGGGAGAAATTGAAGGTCAATTAGGACAATAAGAGAGTAGAAAGATTAGTTCTTTTTGCACTCACCAACTGAGGCTGTGTTGGTTGCTGTGTGCCTCTGTTAATTTCTGCTACATGTTTTTTTGGCGCTGGTTTTCTCCAGTTCAGTTCATTGTTTTGCCTTTAAAACTGTTTCATTTTGTAAGCCTTCTACCATAAATGGAATCAGAGATGAGTGCTTGATTCATTAGAAAACTATTGCCTCTTAATTCTTCATCTCCCTCTTCTTTTTTCTTTTTTTTTTTTTCGAAGTTTCTTCTTGCCTTTTTCTTTTTTCCCATCTATAACCACACGCCCACTGTGTTCCAACTACGTTCCGCTCAATTATTAAGGACCATATAGGGGTTACAGTAATTTTCATGCCCAAAACTTCTAACCAGAGATCTTTCCTTAAAGGGAACGAGCCCCAACCATATACTATTTTTGCCTTTAATTACAATGCGATGATTAACGTAGAAAAGAGAGATAAAAATAAATTGTTTAACATCTCTTATTATTTATAAGCTAGGGAAAAAAAAGGTTAAATAGAAACATGGATAATACATGACTGTTCCTAAAATTAAAAAACAAAAAAAAAAAAATATCAATTTTCAATCCAAGTGCCATCAAAGATTGAGTATATATATATTATAATTCACAACTATATATATGCATATAGATTTCACAAATTCACTTTCCATCAATTTCTTCCTTCAAGTCCAAATTTTCAACCAAACATAGAAGCTGTATATATTATAACATCAAATTTTACTTTATAAGGCAGACTTGGTAGAATGTATTGCAATGTGGGGTTTGAATAGAATTAATTTGTACCCCTAAAACTAGTTTTAGAAATGTGTTTGTACCTAAATATCCTCATCTGTGTGTAGTATTGTTCATTTAACAATTAACATTGCCCATGAATTGTTGAATTATAAGACATATCCATTAGATATTTATATTTTGAAATAAATTTTCTTTTTTTTACCAAGTATGGCAATTTATATTATTTTCTCTAAAAAAAATTAGGATGCGTTTGTTTCATGGTTGTAAATTACAATTAACACTTAGCAATTACATTATTAAAAGTGACTCACCTATGTCCAATCTTTTTATAACAATTTATATTTTTTTTTCTTTTGAATGAAGGTATTTCTTACGACTCAATGGAGAAAAAAAAAAGTTAAGTGAAAATAAATTTTAAAAAATATTTCTTGTTAACCCTCCACCAAAAGTTTCAGTACTTGGCGAAGAAAGAGACATATCAGTGTTTAACTTAAGAAAAGGAACATGTGGTCTCTTTCAAGAAATCCATTGCTGAGTTCGAACTACAGGGGTCTGAGAAAGAAGCAATTGAGAGAGAACAAAAAAAAAAAAAAAATAAAAATCTACTAATGAGACTGATTAATACTCAAAAGAATAGAAAAAAAAAGTTAAAACCATCTTCATAATTATGGTGATTATAAGAAAATAAATTCTTAATATAGCAAGAAGAGTGAAAGAGGATATATAATATTATGTTGGATCATATTGTTTTTGATTGACCTATTGACCACCTTTGGGTTACTCCTTATCTGCCTGCTTTATTAATTAAAAAATGACCATATTGATGGAGCCTTAAAGGGTAGTATTGATAGACATATCTTATTAGAAACCTTTTTTGTTAGAACAAAAAAAAAAAAAAAGTAAAAATCTCAATTAATTAGTGGAATAAGAAAAAAAAAATTCTTAATATAGCAAAAATAAGAGGATATATTATATGTTTGACATATTGTTTTTATTGACCTATTTGACCCTTTGGGTTAACTCCTTCTGCCTGCTTTATTAATAAAAAATGACCATATGATGGAGCCTTAAAGGGTAGTATGAGAGACATATCTTATAGAAACCTTTTTTGGTTGAAATTATTTGATAATCTGTTTCAATTTAATTTTTAAATTTTCATATCCATACGTTTCATAGGGAAAAAGTTTAACTATTTTATTTTCTGAATTGTTTGACAGAGTTTTTGAAGAATTTGGCAATTCAAATATCTTTTTTTTTTCATTCTTTTGTTATTTAAAACAACTCAAATAAAAAAACATAATGAAATACTAATTTTCTATTCGGATTCTCCAAAATTATATATTTATTATTATTATAGATTTAAATTCACAGAATTAATATCTAATAATTAAATTAATGGTAAAAATAGGTGGTTTTCCTTATATAGATAATGGATGTAATGAAGGGTTATGTATAATTAACTCAAGTCATAAGTCACGAAATTCAAGTAAATAAAAAATCTTGAAAGAAATAATTGAAAACAAAAATAAATAAACCCTTCGAAAACAAAACAGCGGATTGATGAAGAATTTCCAATCTCAATTCTCAAACTTCATATCTGCAAAAACATATTTTAATTTATTTTTCTTTTCCTGAAACCTCTCAAATAAATTCGCAATCTCCAAAATTAAAAATCATCACTTCCACAAAACAAATTTGATAAAGAAGCACCCAAACATAACTACTATAATTTACCTCTTCTTGCAAAAGTAATTTATCTTTCCGTTTTTCTTGACTTTCTTCAACTCAAAATCTTTAAGTTATTTGTCTTTTAAATAATTTATTTCTTCCTCACTCTTCAGTCTTCATTGTTAACCAAAATGTATAGCGTTTCTTATATATTATGCTGACACCCATCATAACCGCCTTCAAACTAAAACTGTTTATGAGACTATTTGTTTTTCTCTTGATTTGTCTGTACCTTATCTGCTTTATTAGTACAACTTCCCTCGTAGCATGGGCAGAGCAGAAACACTACTGCTGTTTACAAATGGACACGCCTGTATTTATGTATATCTATCAATGTAAAGGCATTTGCTGAATCTGCAAGTATATAAGATAATTTTTAAGCGATCAAATGACGGAATGTTGACTTGGCGTTAGTTTTAAAATTTATTTTATCTTTAAAAATGGCTGGATTGTGAATGGGCATCAGCTTTGAAAATTGTTTCAAATTCTCACAAATATCACTATTTCAAATCCTTAGAAATATATGATTTGAATTAGAAATAATGAATAAATTACATGAAGTCTTGCTTACTCCACCCATTCCAAGGTGCAAAAAACTGTAATTGTTTTTTATTGCTAAAATTGCCATGTTGACATTGCACATTAATGGAACCATTGCCTTTGTTTCATTAAAATGAAAGTCAAGTAAATGGTTCTTTAAAAGATGAAATTATCCCGGACAGACACAAACTGGGTATAAAGAAATACCTCATTCAGATTTTGCTTGAAAATGGTTCACACCAAGCTCATGGTACAGCGGTTGCAGCATCCAGTTTCCGCTTTCCTCCAATTTTGGAGTGCCAATGGTTTGGTCTATGAGTGGGTCTATGCATCGAGTCTAATCAAGTTTATCCAACATTTAATTTTTTTTTTTTGGTAAAATAAGAACAACAATCCAAAACTAACTAAAAGTCTAAAACCATCTCAAGTATAAGCAACATGTTATCATGAGAAAGCCAAACTAATAGACCCAAGGAGGTTCTTCAAAGATATGAACAATCACAATTTAATTATTAGTGCTTAAGCCAAAAGATTCTCAATTTAATTAGTGGAATAAGAAAAAAAAATCTTAATGTAGCAAAAATAAGAGGATATATTAATTATATGTTGACATATTGTTTTTATTGGCCTAGTTGACCCTTTGGTTTAACTCCAATTCTGCCATCTTTATTAATAAAAGTAACAATAGAATGGAGAATTGAAGGGTTAATTAATAAAAATGACGATACGACGGAGAAATAAAGGATGGTATGAAAGGCTAATGATGGGTTCACTTGAAGGTAATGCACTTTGTAAACAAAAAAATTTTTGAGTTAACTATTTTGTTTTGTGAATCGTTTGACAGTGGCTTTGAAGAATTTAGGTATTCAAAAATTTTTTTTCATTCTTTTTCTTTTTTGTTATTTAAAAAACTCAAATAAAGAATTTCAATGTTTTTTCTTTTTCCGATTGTCCAAAATTAGGTGTATATTATTATTATTATACATTATATCGATTTGAGTTTACAGAATTTCAATGTTTAATTATCGAATCAACGATAAAACTAGGTATTTTGCGTTGCACCTTGACGTGGGATATTTATTTTTACTCCCATGTATGGATGCAATGCATCACATAAGCCACATAAACTCAAGTAAATAAGAAATCTTGACTGGAGAGCATGAAAATAAAAAATAAGTAATTTATAGAAGCAAGATCAATTCACAGAGTCATGAATCATGAATTTCTACGTTTAAAATCTCCAAACCTTCCACGATCTTCTCAACAGCAACAAAAATCTTCAACTCAATCCAAGTTATTTCTCTTTTAATTTTTTTTTTTCTCAATTATTCCTCACTCTTCACCTTCATTCATATCAATACTTACACTTACAGCCCAAAATACATAGCGTTTAATACATAGTATACTGAGACGCACCATGCCCCGATATGTTACAATATCTCTGGTACCACTGTGAGAGGAGAACCTCCTATTATTGCCTTAAAATTAAAACTATTTGTTAAACTATATTTATTTGTTTTTCTTTTGATTTGTCTTTCCGGTATCTGCTTTGCATGGTTTGATGTAGTTAGAGAGAAATACTTTTGCAGTTTACATATTGACATGCCTGTGTATATCTATCCATGTACAGACATTTACTAAATCTGCCAGTATCTAATATAATTTAAAGTGATTAATTAACCGAACGGTGAATTGACATCATCTTTAAAAATTCTCTCAAATCTTTGAAAATGTTCGGATAGTTGTTGAATTGGTATCCACTCTAAAAATTATTTAAAATTCTCACAAATATCATTATTTCAAATTTGTAGAAATATATGATATGGATTAAAAATAATGGATCAATTACATAAAATCTTGCTTACTCTACCCATTCCAAAATGTGAAAAACTGTAATTGTTTTTTACTGCTAAAAATGCCATAATGACCTTGCACATCAATGGAAGCATTGCCTTCCTTTCACTAAATCGAAAGTCAAGTAAACAGTTCTTTTAAAGAAGAAATTATCTCATAGACAGACATTAGGTATAAAGAAATTACCTCATCTTCATTCAGATCTCGCTTGAAATGGTTCACGCCAAGCTCATGGTATAGCGGTTGCAGCATGCAGTTTCCACTTTTCATGCAACTTTGAAGGGCCAATGGTCCAGTGGCGGATATTCCTCAAGGCGCTGCAACAGCTGTGATTGCAATGGTATTGTTGTTTCCGCTTAATCACTCACTGTTCATCATCATCCACCGCTTAATCAAAACTCACAGGTCTTAACAGTACTTGCTTACTATAGCTAATTAAGGATTGTTTTTTGCATGATTTCATTTAATAAACATAAATTGAACGGAGATGGATTTTTTTTTTTTTTTTTTTTTCATTACTTTGTAGCGGCCAATGGATCCAGTGGCGGATAAATTCCTCAAGGCGCCTGCAACAGCTGTTGATGCAATGAATATTGTTCGTGTTCGCTATTAGATCACTAAGTGTTCACATCCTCACTCTCACACCGCTTAATATCTCACAGGTTGCTTTAACACGGGAGGGAGTACTTGTTACTTATAGCTAATTAGGATATTGTTTTTTGCGATTTGTATCTTCATTTAGAATATAAACATACTTGAACAGGAGAATGGATGTTTTTTATTCTTTTTTTTTCTTTTTGAAAATAAGTTAAGGTTTAAAGATTAGACCAGAATAAATTATAACTAAATTTATACAATTTTATACTTGTAGCAATCCAAAAAATTAGCTGCAACAATTATACTGTGGTAATAGAAAAAAAGAAAAAAAAAAAAAAAAAGGCTAACCCACCTGCAGGATTGGATCAAGGCTAGGATTCCGCTCTTGGGAATAATCTCTCCACACGCGCTCAGCAAGAAGTCTATTTTACATGTAGGTTCCGTTGGTCTTTGGTATGTTGTCGGTTTTCTACCAAAATGGACAGTAAAATTTTGAAATTTTTATTATTATCCAGAGCAAATTATTAGAAAATGAAATTACTAAATTGCATATAATGAAAGCTAATCTGCATTTGCGAGATGGTTCTGCATTCAAATGATTCATTCTCAGTGCTATAGTATTTCATAAACTTTTTTAAATGAGCAAGACTGAGTGGAGATAGCCTAATATTAAGGAGACTGTTCAACAGATACTAGCTGTAAAAAAAAAAAAAAAAAAAAAAAGGCTAACCCACTGAGGATTGGATCAAGGCTGGATCCGCAGTGACAACACCCTCACAGGAGCATATTAATTAGTTCGTGGTCTTTGGTATGTGGTCTACCAAAATGGCAGTAAACTTTGAAATTAATTTTATCAGAGCAAATAGTAGAAATAAAATATTCATATAATGAAAGCTAAAGAGGGTGTTTGATTCAAATGATTCATGCATGTAGTCAATAAACTTTTTTAATGAGCAACTGCTAATAGCTAATATAAGGGATGTTCAACAATACTAGCTGTTTTAGTAGTTGTTAGCTGTTTATATTGTGGTTGAAAGCGAACGTATTCGATAAAAATAATTGTTTGATTGACAATGAATTTAAAATGACAAAAAAAGATATTGAAAAATTCACCTAAAATTTTCAATTAAATTCATTATTAAATTTAATTTTTTAATAGAGATGGATGCTCTTTCTGTTGATATGAATTTTTCAAATCCTTGTTTTCGTGGGAAGACATGCGAAGAGGTATAACCATTTTTAAGGATTTTGAGAATTTTATGTTCTTATTTCTTTCTTGCTCTCTATGCATTAGTTTTACCTTTTCATTAACGACATGGCAACCTCTATATTACCGTAAACAACCTTGTTGATGGTGTATTTCCCGCTTGCAATAATATGGCAATTTTATTCGCATGGGTACACTTATTTTTTTTGCATGGACAGCTTTTACAGCAATTGCAGAAATATCTTGGTGTAAAACGCGAACTAAAAGCAGGGTTTCGTGATCAGTCATTAAGGGTATTTTTGCAATTTAATTTATTTTTCTCCCCTTTGATTATACTGTATGTGTTTTACCATTTGTGGACATGCTTACGGTTCCAAAACCGTCGGTTCCGGTTATGAAAGAAATGAAACCATAACCGAATCAAATTGCTTTTTAGCGGTTTCAAGATAGTTTTAAAACCATTAATTTCGATTTTATTCCGATTTTGAATCGAAATTAAATAATATATTTTAAATTTTTTAAAATGTTTTTTTAGATTTGTAGCTTGAATAAATAATATTAATAAAATAAAACAATTTAATAAAAATTCTTAAAAGTTATTTTAAAAAATTATAATAAAACAAAAAATTAATTACTTTAAGAACATGTTTTCCATGGTTTCAAATCGAAACTATAAGTTTTAGACCAAAACCACTAATTTTTTCAAAAAATGAAGAATTGAAAATTAGAACTTTAAATGCACGATTATAGTTTGAAACAAGAACGTTGACTATGGTTTAGTACTAATTTTGACCAGTTTGATTTTGATTTAAAATTGAACGGTGATCATCTCTATTTGACCGACAAACAAGAGAATAATTTTTGTGAGGGAATGACGATTTATTGTAACTGTGCAAAAACTCAGCGATGAGTAAATTAATTTTTTTAACAAGTACAGGGACCTTAAAATTAGGTCAATTTCAGGGACCTTAAAAAATTTTCCCCAAAATTTTAATTAAATTTTCTAAAACATTTTTTTTAATTAAATTAAGTCCTACGCCAGATAACGATTGCGTCATGTTTTATAATTACAACTTAAAATAATACACGAGAATAAATTGGGGCAGAGGAGTCGAGTCTGTAGTCCGTACAAAATTCCAACAGTGCATTCCTTAGATTCAACAAAACAAAACAAAAATGGAATGGAATGAAGTGAAAATGATCTCATTCTCACTCACTTTTCTCTCTTTTTGTCTCTATCAGATTCAATAATTGTTAATAATATTTATTTACAGAGGGCTGTTTGTTTGTATTTTTTGCGTTTCTGCGTAAAAGAGACAGAAATATGTCGGACGACAAGAAGTACGTTGAGCACTGTAAAGACAAGAATGGCATGGATAAGGTCATTTTGCGTGAGGCTCGTGGCTGTTCTGCTGAGGTATCTCATTTCTTAGATCTTTTATCTTCCTTCTTTCAACAACATTGGCAAAATTATGTACTATTTGTTATTATTTTAAATTTGCATCTGTTAATTTTTAGCTCTATTTAGATCTATGCTGATTTTATTAGGATTAGGATTAGGATTACGGCTTACGGTAATTCCATTTCCATGTAATTGAATTATTAATGAATCAAATTCAGGAGTACATCCTGCGTCAATTTTTCCTCTGTTTCTGTTTATGGAATTGTAGATTTGACAGTTACTTTTTGCTGAGATGCATCTACAAACAAGCAGTTTTGGAAACTAGTTTTAAGAATTTTTTTAGTAGTTTTTGAGTGATTAGGGCATTGGGAAGGGCACATGTGTTTTCTTATGTGGCTTTAACTTGTATTAACTTTTTCTCATGCTGGTTTATATATTGCTTGAGAAACACTTTTGTTGTTTATATTTAATCGGTCTAAGGATCAATTAGTAAGTTTTTATTTGATTATGTTTCTTTGGAGAATGGGAAGGGATCTCTTGTATCTGTATGTCTATCTATGTATAGACACATGTCAATGTGCACACACAACTCAGCTGAATCTGCAAATACATAAGATTTTATTGAAAGCAAAATCTTAGTATTTTTTGGCGGATTGTGAAAGGACCTGAAGTTTCAATCTAATTGGCTGGGCTTTGTGGATCATTTCTCTTTATTTTGCAGAATTTTGTATTAGAGTTGTCAAATCCTTCTTGACCATTTTGTCCTCACCCATATGATTTATGATCTTGACTCTTGTAGTTTTGCATGTTGTCCACACGAGATGTTGCTAAACCATCTCAATTGCTAGTCTCTTGACTTATCTTTGGTTATTGCCACCAAGATATGCGTATAAGCTGATATTTATTTTCCCCACTTTTATTGTTAAGGGAACCATAAATGCCTCACTTATTTTTGAGTAAGTAATCATGTGTAATTTTCTCTCTAAATATTTATTAATAAGAAATAAAGTGGAGATCTATTTACAAAAGCATATCGGTTAGAGGCCTTTTTGCTATTACACTTTGTACACAAACAGGTATACTTGTATGGAGGTCAAGTCACATCTTGGAAGAATGAACATGGGGAAGAATTGCTTTTTGCTAGTAGCAAGGTATGTAATTTAATTTTAATTGTTTTAAGAAGCTATAATCACTGAACAACATTAATGAGTTTTAACTATTGTTTCCTATTTGTGTTTGTTGTGATCAATGGTCAACCCCAAGAAATTGGTACAGCGGATGCTCATCATTAAATGATAACTCTTGAACTTTATGTTGACTAGGGTTAGAGGTGATACTTTAGTAGTGGAGGGTGTTAAAAGAGAAGAGGTTAACATAGAATTGCTTGGAGGGAAGTTGCCGCTAATGATTTATATTCTTTTGATATCATTGAGGATGTAGCTATAAACAAAATAGATTGGAGGTTAAATTCATGTAGCAGACCCTACTTAATTGTCGTTGCCTATTTCATGCTTTGTTCTATTTATTAATATATCAAATGATTTTTAAATCCCTGTTAAAATTTTTTACAAAAAGTATTTCAAAATTTTTTTTCCGACTTATATTTTGCTTTGCATTGTTTTTAACATAATTAGAGTAGATATGTGAAACAAAGGATTTATATAGCCGACCCCAGTTAGTTTGGGACTAAGGCTTGGTTGTTGTCGTTGTTGTATTATTGGTAAGATTAACTAGGAAGGTGCTTTTTTTTTAAGAAATGCTCAAGTGTGACAGTCGGAAACTTTAGCAATTCTTTATTATTGTGCAATTGGTGGTCGGTCTACAAAGCAATTATCAGTTGGAGAGGGTTTTTTTTTTTTTTTTTGGGTTTTTTAATTTGAAACAAAGGATTTCATATAAGCCGACCCCAGTTAGTTTGGACTTAAGGCTTGGTTGTTGTCGTGTTGTATTATTGGTAAGATTAACTAGGAAAGGTGCTTTTTTTTTAGAAAATGCTTCAAGTGTGGACAGTCGGAAACTTTTTAAGCAATCTTTTATTATTGTGCAATTTGTGTGGTCGCGCGTTCTTAACCCCAAGCAATTTATCAGTTGTGAGAGGTTTTTATTCTTCCTCTCTCTCTCGCTCTCACTTCTCTCTCGTTTTATTTTGAGTTTTTGTATTTTTAGGTACATCCCTTTTGCATCAAAGGGTGAACATCATTGAAATGCTCTATACAAAGCAATTATCAGTTAGAGGAGGTTTTTCTTTGGGTTTTATTTTTATTTTATTTTTTGGTGGGGTTATGTCCCTATTGCTATTTAAAGGTGAACATCATTGGAGGGTTTTTTTTTTTTTTTTGGGTTATTTCTTTTATTTTATTTTTTATTTTTAGGGTACATCCCTTTTGCATTCAAAAGGTGAACATCATTTGAATGCTTATACAAAGCAATTATCAGTTAGAGAGGTTTTTCTTTGGGTTTTTATTTTATTTTATTTTTTTGGTGGGGTTATGTCCCTATTGCATTCTAAAGGTGAACATCATTTGAGTGCTTATATGCTTATTTAGTTTCTTTTTTCCTAGTTTTGGTTGAAGGCAGAGAGAAGCATGGTTTTGGAATTCTAAATTGCCAGTCCTATGAATGAATTGTGTTACAACTTGGCTGCTTAGTTGCCTTTGCTTGGAATTTTAACTTTTAAGATGAAATTCGAGCAATAAACAAAAAGCCTTGTTAATATCTAGTTTTACGAAGAGCAAAGGACAAATTACTATTTTTAAGCCTATCGGTCATGTGCGCCTTTTTAATAGCGATAGAACAAAAATGATGTCTTGTAGATCAGAAACTTGGAATTATGAAATTGTAAGATGAACAAGGTTGACATGGTATAGCCATGAACTTATAGATGAACAAACTTGTTGGCGTCATCTGACTAGGGCAAGATTGCAATCCCTTTTACAGATTATTAATGTAATGATGGCTGTAAGTTGACTGAATTTATCACTTTGTTAGACCACTCCAAGGACACAATTATACTAGCAAACTCTAGGAATTCATTATGAAAGAGAGATCTCAATTTTATTGATCATGAAACGCTCCAATACTAACAACAATAACAATTAAATCTTAATCCTAAACTAGCTGGGATCGTCTATATAAATCTTTCGTTCAGAAGAGTAGATCTTTTGAGATGACAAGAATTCATGTTGGGGTTTGACTATTTTTGCACTGGCCCTCAACCTATTGCAACCCTCCTCCTAGACCGACTATGCTTTGCTAAGCTCACAGGTGGAGTTAAACACTTGAACACTAAATTACATAAAATATTAGTAGCCTTATGTATTACCTAAGCCCTTAGACTAGCTCGGAAACAAAAATCCTATAGGACATTTTCTTATGCAACAAGGCCCACATATTAGCTGTTTAATTGTAAAGTTTTCTTTTCAGACACTATTTTGTTAAAGAAGTTGGTAAACTGATTAATTTCTATGTTAGAATCTGTAGTAAATCTAAGACTGTTGTATTGTTTGTCTTATTTCTCACTTTTCCATACCTTTTATATTAAGTCAATTCATCTCTATGTGGTTTGTGTATAAAATAAGCTTTGTACTTCATTGATATACTGCAGATTATTCATTCTCGAATTTATGCTTGTTTGGATGGAAGCAAAATATGGTTGGATGTAAAATAGGGGGTGAAAATGCATTAGGGATTTTCAAATTACATTATTTGTTTTGGGTGAAAATATTAAAGAGGGTGTAAAATAAATTTATTTTACCTTGTACGATTTTCCTCCCAAAATGGAGTGAAAATAAGAAATAACAGGTGAAAAGTTACTATTCATATATAATAATAAAAATAAAAATTTTTTACACCCTTATTTTACACCAATCCAAACAATGAGTGGAAAATAAGGAGGTAAAATGAATAGTATCATTTTACACCCTTATTTTACTTCTCTCATAATTTACTTCCTCTTCCCAAACGTAGCAATAGGATGGATGACTACTAATAGCGTTAGTTAAAAACAATAACTTCTGTCATTTTTTCTTTCCTGGGTTTTTGCGTGCATTTTTGTTCTTCTAAACTATGGTGGTGCTTTGTGTAGGCTAGATTGCCGCCTCCAAATCCCTTTCGTGGAGGTATTCCAATCTGCTTTCCTCAAGTATGTGCTTTACTTTTTGATTTAATTATGCTTTGCCTTTTAAATGTTCCTTTCGATGTAAATTGTTTGGCATTTGCAGTTTGGTAGTGGTAATCTTGAACGACATGGATTTGCAAGGAATAGACATTGGACCATCGATAAAGATCCCCCTCCATTTCCAACAAATACTTCCAACAAGGCCTTCATTGACTTAATACTTCAACATGCTAAAGAAGAAGTAAAGAGCTGGCCTCACAGGTGTGTCACTCAAATTTGAGAATGAAATTTAATATCAACTCAGCATGCATTTTCAAATTATATCTCATTATATAAACAATGAAGCAAATTATTTTGAGTTATTTATCTTTAACATCTAGCTTTTCTAATGTCCGTAGGTATATAATCAATCAGCAAGATAGGCCATTCAATAAATTGATTGCAGTTTAAAGGAATAAAATTCATGTCTAATATTAAAATTTTTATTATGCCAAGATACTTACATCTGTTAAATATGTTTTTTCTTTTATTTCATTGACCAGTAAGTATTTATAATGCATCACAATCATTGTTTACAGATATGAGTTTCGTTTAAGGATATCTCTAGGGCCTGGAGGAGATTTGATGTTGACCTCACGCATTCGAAATACAAATACTGATGGAAAGTCATTCACCTTTACATTTGCCTACCACACCCATCTCTACGTTACCGATATCAGGTTCTTTGATGAGTTCAATTTATTGCAGCTATCTCCAGAGCTTTGTTATGTTTGTTAGTTTCTTGGTCTTGGTGGAAAGCATCATCTTTATTTGCAGAGATAGCCCTATAGGTATCTAACACCTTTTCTTCATTCAAACAGCAAGCAAAAAAGCTTTGATATGTGTGTTGTTCTTTAAAGATGATGGCTTTACCTTTTCCAAGTTTATCCACACCATTAGATTTTAAATCCAATTGACTGGATATTTTAGTTAGCTTTAGTGATACCCAATTAAAACTATATCTACATACTTTGAGTACCCTTCATTCTGATAAACATTAGATACCGGTTAACCAAAAGTCCCGCTGGAAAGTGTTACATGCTGCAAGTTTCATGATGGAGTTCGCTACACATGACAAGGGATGACACCAGTCTATTCAAGTTACAATTGGCTTATTAATCATGTTCATTTTAGTATCTATGAGAAGTAGGTGGTTCTGAATAGTTTGTTGAAAAGCACGATGTAAATCTAAATGGGAATTTTTTGGTTATAAGTGATAGATTGCTTAAGAAAAGTTCTTTACTCGTCATCCTTCAAGAATGTATTTTGGCTGACAATATTAGTATTTAGTAGATGTTTCACTGGTATGGTACTTACTAGGTTCAACTCAGGAAAGTGAATATAAGATTCAACTCAGGAAAGTGATTGTTAAAGGACTGCTTATCCTCTGAATTTACAGTCCCTTCTTTATTAACATACAAAGAGAGCGAAAACTCAATCACCAGACTGATTCTCTGATGACTAGGATAAATACCAAAAATGGCTTTACAATATTTACAATATAAAAGCCCTTATAAATTAGATCTCGGCCTTTAAAACAAATCTCATCCATCCAAGGGAACATATAAAATGACTAACAAAAGATATGGCTAATCCTAATTTCAAAGATGCTACACTAGCATGATACTAAAGCACTATGATAACATGAATGACAATCGTATGTTGCTATTCTAAATTTTCACTGCTGCATCACTTAGTTGCACTTGGCTTTTGTCTAGTGAAGTGCGTGTGGAAGGACTTGAAACACTGGACTATCTGGATAATTTAAAGGATCGAGAGCGATTCACTGAACAAGGGGATGCAATAACATTTGAATCAGAAGTTAGTGCCTATCTTCAAACAGCTGCTAATTTTTTTCTCAGAGCCCTTTTGGTTTCTGTTCATGCTCTCATGCAAATATTCTTTGTTAATTTTTCTTCTTTTTTATGGTGAAGGTAGATAAAATCTATCTCAGCACACCTACTAAAATAGCTATAGTGGACCACGAAAGGAAAAGGACATTTGTATTGCGTAAAGATGGACTTCCTGATGCAGGTGAGCCAGTCAGGGTTTTATCCCTCTGTTATTTAATTTTTCGTTCATATGTTTGTCCCACTATGTTAAAGTCAGGACATATCACATATAAGTGGGAAAGTTAAAAAATATTTTAAATTCTAGCCAAATGTCCTTGCTTTCTGCCCTTGGAGCAATGTTGAATGTAATCTTAAGCTAGAAATAGTGGAAAAGAACGATCACTTGACATCAGAAGTAAGAAAAACTATGTTAACATTGAGTTTGAATGACTCTACTAAAAGTCAAATGAATTACTGCGTGAAGTACAAAAATGTGCCCTATGTTTTAACAAAATCCCACCTATATTTCAACTTTATAGCTGAATCAATGTCAATGCAGCTTCTGGATACCCCCATGTCCAAAGACTCTATCAGGAGCATCCTGCTAATTCTAGGGGTTCCCTCCTTCAAAAGAAAATTTCACCCCTCAAATTTGTTATCTAAAAGATAGATCGCTGTACATGGGAAAGGGTTTTTTGCATATGTATTGAAACAGTTTTATTTTGAATAAAGGGATAATTTTTATGATAGGATTATTTATACCTATAGTTGTGATATGATAGGATTATTTATGGATAATCTTTTCCTTTGTGATTTCATGCTTTCTGATGCTAGAATTTGTCAAGCATCTGAATTTATTTTCTCATTGGTTTAGGCAGATAGAACGTTTCTGGCGTTTCAATGGTGTTTGTACTTATGTAGATCTTGTCCTTTGAGTATGGGTGCAAAGTGCTCCAATCTTTATCATCATGAATATCCCACATTCACTGATTTCTCTGTGGAAATATTGTCTCATTATCATAACAATGAAAGCAATTCCATTTTATGTTGTTTAACCATGTATTTTTATTTAATGTTTACCCCAACCATTGTAAATGTATTATTTCGGTTAACTATGGCTCAAGATGAATTATTTGATCATGGAACATAAGTTTTGAATGCAAAACTTGAGTGCATCCAGTGATTATCATTGCAGTTATTTTCATCTGCAGTGGTCTGGAATCCCTGGGATAAGAAAGCAAAGGCAATGCCTGACTTTGGCGATGACGACTACAAGCATATGCTATGTGTGGAGGCTGCTTGTATAGAAAATCCTATTACTTTGAAACCTGGTGAAGAGTGGAAAGGAAGGCAAGAGCTGTCTATTGTTCACTCCAGTTACTGCAGTGGACAACTTGATCCACAAAGAGCACTAAGTGTTTAGAAGATTGGTACATTCTGGTGGATCTCTTTTACAGGTAATCCACTGAAGCAAAGCCTTTGAATCAAAACCCTGAAATTTAAAAGGAATTCAAGATCTTACCTAAATTTAATGTTGTTCCCCCATTTAATATTTAGGGCATTTATAATTTGACCTTGCAATGGACGTAGGCTGACCTGGATGGTTTACATTTCAATTTATTAAAACTATTCCTTTTGCTAGGCAAATAACTTAGCATGAGCATACTACATGTGCGCATGTGCATGTGCATGAGCACAAGGTTGGCCACGGTTCCAGAACCGCCGGTTCCGGTTCCATAAAATTTGGAACCGGAACCGAACCGAAAATTAACAGTTCCGGTTCCGGTTCCTCAGCGGTTCGAAAATTGACGGTTCCGGCCAGTTTTCTGGCCGGTTTCAGACGATTTCGGCTGGTTTTGAATGGTTCCGGCCAGTTTCGGACGGTTCCGACCGGAACTAGAACCGTCGGTTCCAACTGAAACTAGAACCGCCGGTTCACGGTTCCAAAACTGGTGGAACCGGAACAGAACCGGTTCCAGTTCCAATTTCTACCGGTTCGGAACCGACGGTTCTGGTTTTGAAAACCAGATTTTGGCCACCCCTGCATGAGCTTGCATACATGTGCTTTCACTAATCTTCTGTAAGTTGTTCTGTTTGATCTGTTTTAATTTTATATACCTTGTGTGATGGACCCGGAACGCCCAATATATCCACAAAGTGCATATTGCAAAAATGCAGATGTTAAGATGATTGTGTGGTGGCAATTTCGGAAATGACCATATCTGACAAGAGGTGTAAGTAGCATAAGTTGGGGATAAAATGAAAGTAGAATGTTGAAATAGTTTAGTCATGTTCTACATAGATCTTATGTGCTTTCATCCATAAATACAGTACATTAACAATGGAGGGTGCTAAATAAGGAAGAGGTAAACCTAGAACCACATAAAAGGAAATTGTCTCAAAAGATATACTACTTCTTGATATTAGTGCAAACTTGGTAATGAATAGAGTATAATGGAAATAAAGGATTCCTGTAGACGATCTAAGCTAGTTTGGGATTAAAGCTTAGTTATTATTACTGTGTATTTCTTGTGTGTATAAGGGTTTTCAAAATGGATTCGCATCTAACTGAACTTTAACTAAAATTAAGTCTTTCTTTTTGGAATATTTTATTAATTTTGTTTAAGAACTAGTCTCATGGCTAATTGTTATTGTAGGTGCCTTGTCTGGCATTTGTATTTGGTGCTGTCAGATGATTCTTGCCGGAATTTTTGGAGGCGAGGTTCAAGAGTAAATTAAGAGAAGATGCAATGTAAAGAGAATTTTTTTTGGCATTTTTTTAACTTCTTGAACTTTACCAAATCAAGCAGAAGATTGGACGGAACACATCTCTAGTTTTATCCACTCTCTCTCTCTCTCTCGTGTAACTCTTCCCATCCCCCCCCTCTCTCTCTCTCTCGTGTAACTCTTCCATCCCCTCCCCCCCCCCCAACCCCTTTCTTTTTTTCTTTTTTTTTTCTTTTTTTCTTTTTTTTTTTTTTGTTGGTCTCTCTCCCTCATTTCTTTTGTGTTCTTGTTATCATTAAATTCTTTATTCTTAACCTTCCAATTCTCTTTAGGACAATTTTACAGTTACCAAATAGGCTTTTTTTTTTTTTTTCCCTTCTCTTTTTCCTTGTTTTGATCTCTAAATATAATATGATGAGAATATTATAAATTATAATCAATTGGCTCTTTAATTTAGCTTTTTTCAGGTTGAAGATACAATTATCAGGTACTTTTTTTTTTTAGGGATTATACAGGGATATTGTACAACGCTGGAGTTAAGGCAAGCTACAAGATGAAAGAAGAGCAATTACATATGGTCTAAGACCTAATTTCTGTTTGTCTTTTCCCTTGTGAAATTCTATTTTGCGAAAAAATCAACATAAGATAAAATTTTATATTGGTGTTATTTTTAATTTGAAATACTGATGATAATTAATTTCTGGAGACATTCAATATCCTTAACAATGTGAAATGATAATTATTAATGTTTTCCTTTCTTTCATTTTAAGTGTTCATTTAGGATTTTGAGATTATATTAATTATTCTTTTTCAATTTTATCCATATCTGTAATTAAATTTATATTTAAGAAGTACAATTTAAATATTTAACTTTATATTTTTAAAAAATCAATGAATTTTAATTATTTTTTTAGTCTTTGTGAAGCGGAACAGAGGGAGTTTTTTTTAAAACTCATATTATTCTAAAAAATAGATTTAAAATTCTAGCACTAAATATCTTCCCCCTCTAAGATTAGCTTTTGCAATTTTTTGATTTTTCGTCTCTTTAATTTCTACAAACAAATGGAAGGTCAGAAAATTCTGAAATTATTATAAAAAGAAAATTGGAATGCCGAAATTAGAAATGATAATTATTAATTAATATTTTACTAAAATTCCAATTTTAAATTCTAATCTTATTCTAAAAAGATTTAAAACCTTGGCAATAAATATCTCCTCTTAAAAAAAAAAAAAAAAAAAAAAAAAAAAAAAAAAGAAAAGAAAACTATATATAATTTAAGGAATTGCCATTATAATTATTATGAATATATTCTTATTTATCGGGTTAAATAGAAAACCACATTAACATATATTATTAATACAGTTGTAAAATTATTACATTAAAAAAAAAAAAAAAAAAGAAAGAAAACTATATATATATTTTAAGGAATTGCATTATAATTATTATGATATATTCTTATTATCGGTTAAATAGAAAACACATAACATATATTATTAATCAGTTGTAAAAATTATTATGATATATAAAAAAATTATTTTTTTTGCAATTTTTCTTAAGATTTTTTGTCTCTTTATTTGCACAAGCTAATCGAATGTCAAAAAAATTCAGAAATAAAAAAAGAAAATTGAAATATCAAAATTAGAAATGATATTTATTAATTTATATTTTACTAGAAGTCCGATATTAAGTTCTAATCGTATTATGAATAATAATTTAAACCTTAGCAATAAATCTTCTCTTTAGAAAAAGAAAATTAAAAACTACATATTTTATCTAATTTAATCGGTTGTAAAATTATTATGATGTATAAAAAAAAAGATATTTAAAAGAACTTTTTTTTTTAGGATTTTTTCTGTTTAATTTCTACAAGCAAATGGAACATCAAAAAAATTATGAAATATAAAAATAAAAAATGGAATGTCAAAAATTGAGCCAGCCTGCTCATTATTGCTTTTTTGCATCCAAAAAATAAAAAATTAAAAGGAAAAAAAAGGGAAAATGAAAATTAGCTAGTAGGGGAAGAAGAGTGTAATGTTAACATTACAAATCGATCAAAGAGGTTTCTTATATTTCTTTTCTTTTCTTTTCTTTTTTTTTTTTTGAAAATCAGAATAAAATGTCAAAACCCAAAAACCCACAACAAAGAATTTAGAGGAGGGAGGGAGAGAGAAAAAAAATGAATTGAAATTGCAGAAAAGTGAATTCTAGGGAGAAAGAGCAAGAGAAAGCCAAGAAGAGAGCAACAAAGTTTTAGTTGAATGCGAGAGAAGAAGAGAAAGAGGAAGAGAAAGAAGAAGAAGCAGCTACGTCGTATCAAATATTCTTTGAATCTGAAAATTTTCCTGCAACTTCTCCGGTTCCGACAGGTCAGGCAATCAATTTTTCTTCTTGCCTCTCTTTCTCTCAACTCTTTAGTCTCTGCTGCATCAATTTTAACTTCAATTTGGGAAAAAACCCATTGAAGTGGAAGTTTCTGAGCTCTTTACCGTTGCCGACTGATCCGTGACAAGTTAAGGATAATACCTCTCTCTTAGTCTCTGTACGTTGAATGAAACGAGGGCTTCTGGTGAAATTACATTATGGTTATTTTTGGACAATTTGCAAATTTTAGTTGGACGAATTAAACTTTTCTTTTTCCTTTGTGAAGTCACAAGCTCTAGTTATGAATATGGTTAGGGTTTTCCTTTATTTTATCAAATTGAATTTTTGTGAGAGAGTTTTGTAGTCTTTAGAGTTTTTTGAGCACTTACCCGTGTTTGGAAGATGCGTTCTGTATTGGCATTGATGGTTTTTCTTGAAATTATGGCCATGTTCTATTTAGGGTTGTGGAAAATGGGATTTTGGAAACAGAGTGAAATAACCCTAATTTAGTTAGGGTTTTGAGCTTCAGGCAGCCAATTTTGCTAGTTTCTTTTTTGTTGCTGACTATGTTGTGAGAAATGCAACGGCTGAATCAGCATTCGCGGGTAAATCTCGCGGAGTTGAAAACTCAGATAGTCAAGAAAATTGGGGCGGAGAAGACAAAATTGTACTTCTATTATTTGAATAAATTCTTGAATCTGAAGCTGAGCAAGGTTGAGTTCAATAAGCTATGTATTCGGGTTATTGGAAGAGAAAATATTCCTTTACATAACCAATTCATATGTTCAATTTTGAAAAATGCTTGTACTGCCAAAATTCCACCACCACAAAGTCATGATAAAGAGATCCCAGAATCTATAATTGATGGTTCCCACTATTTTCCGAATGGGAAAGCAGATTTTGCTTCTCATCGATCAACAGTTACAGCTGATAATAACATAGCTTCAGAAGATGGCATGCCGAAGGTGCAGCATCATCAAGTTCTCTTGGAAAAAGCTGAGAGAGACGGAGAAGTATTATTACACCAGCCAACCAAATCATCACAAGCAAGACAATCAGCAGACGGTTCAGTTTCTATACAGAGTAAAGAACAGAGTGATATATCTGTTGTTCAACACAGAAAAGAGATATCTGCTATAAGTTCACTTGTGGCTCCACTTGGAATTCCATTTTGCAGTGTAAGTGTCGGTGGTGCCCGTAAACCTTTACCTTCAGCAACCAATGGTAGATGCAATAGTTCATATGAGAATGGTGGATTGCTAGACTCACAATTGCTAAGAGAGCGAATGCAACAAATTGCTGCTGCACAGGGCCTTGATAGTGTGTCGGTGGACTCAGCCAATTTGCTGAACAGTGGCTTGGATGCTTACTTAAAACGGTTGATCAAGTCTTGCATGGAACTTGTAGGTAAAAGCTGCAACCATGATTTGATGACAAAAAATAGCCACAAGCAAAATTCTCATGGGAAGCTGAATGGGAGTTTGCCAGGCCATCATATGCAGGCACAAAGTAGCAGCATGCTCTTAGATGGAATTCAAGAACAAAGATCCCAGTTCTCGATATCTTTGCTAGATTTCAAAGTTGCAATGGAGCTTAATCCACAGCAGCTTGGAGAAGACTGGCCATTGCTGCTGGGGAAAATTATGCATGCATTTGAAGAATAAAGCTCCTGCAAAAAGTTGCACCTATTATGCATGATTAATTTGGTTGTTGCTGGTTCAAAGGATCCAAGAAGATAAGACATTTTTAATTGGTTGTGGATGTCTTTGTCTACTGCTTTTCATAGCTCTTTAAATCAGTTTGCTGCTCTCAAATTAAACTTTGCCCTATCCAAGATGAATGTTAATCAAACTGGGATTTCCTGCCACGCATTGATCTAGTGTACCACGTTACACAGCAACCAAGCAAAAGGTACACAAAGAAAAGAATACCCATTTGTCCTGTTGTATTTTTTAGCATAGTTTTCCGCATTTATGTAATTTATAGTTGATGAGGAAAAATTCTTGGAAACAGTTTTGCAGGAATAATTTGGGGTAGGTTGTTAGGAACGTAAAAAACTGCACTGTTGTAAAAGTTCCTGTATATTTATTTTCTACACTTGGAATTGCTGGATCTCAGTGTTAACAAGTTGTCAAGTGCTAATGTTCTTCCTGATTTTAATGTGAACTATGAATTTAATTGTTTGTTTTAATTTCCTCTTGCAAGTGATGCAATCTGTACACCCTTTTTTTTTGGCATTTTATTCTAGAATTTCCACATAAAATTTGCTACATGCATATGCACTGAGATATATTACCTCCAATTAGTCATGATCTTCATTTATAATTTTTGTTGAAATTTATTGTTGGCTGTACTATTCCTATCTATCTATGCAGTTAAATTTCTTTGTCAATTAGTTGTTAGGAACTATCAGTAAGAAATGCAAGTACACAGAATTGATTTCTGAAACGACAACAATAAAATGCCAAAGGCTAGATTCAATCAAATGACTTGACCGAGGATCCTGCTTTGCTGGACCAACACTAGAAGGACCCAGAATTACTTGGCCATAAGAAGCTCAATTTTATGCTCTAACCCTGGTGATAAGCTCTATTCACCGTGAAACGTAAGAAATGTTGTCACTTCTCTTTGCCACTTTCAGGACTTCGATGTAACAAAGATTTGCTGATTGACTTACAGATATTTTAGTGCACAAATGGGAAAAATAAATTCTTCAAGGTTAAATATAGCTAGTATCCCATCTCTGTCTATCATTTATTTAACTGTTATGGATGCTATGCATATATGCTACGTGCAGGATTTACAGTTTTGGCTTATGAGCAGATATTACCAATCTGTTTATGCAGGTGCTGCATAACTGTTCTGAATCCCCTTTCACATTATGCTTCATTTCAGTTATGTGCTCCTGCAAAATTTCTATATATGCAGGCTTGCATGCCACCTAGACAGTGCTTCTTTGGTCATCAATTGAAGCACAATTCTGTAGTTACTCAAAAATAAAATTTTATTGCGGGGATGATTTCAATAGAAGCAAGCACTTGCTATTATGATCATATTTTTGCCATTATGAATGAGAATTTTCCTTGGGAAACTGAAAGGTTGTCTATAGTCATCTATTAGTTAATCAAAAATTAAAATACATCAAAAAAAAATTCCCCAATTTGTTTTAATGCATTCTTGAAGTCAAATAATGTTAGAATCCTGCTTCAATTGACATCACCCCACAAACATTGTGGTTTATTTATTTCATTAATCAGGGTTTGATGTTTCCTCAAACCTTCCTTGGCTTCCACCAGTAAGGAATAGAATCGTTTTATTTAGAATTTATTGTGTATCGAATATGTGTTCCTGTATATAAGCATATATCTAATGCACATTTTTGAATTTGCAAAGCTTTAAATATTGCGAACACAGTTTCCCAAAGTGGCACAACTGCAATGCCAAACAAGCACAAACTTCACTTGTCAGGGTAATGATTAATTTGGCTGAAACCCGAAAGTTGTTTTGGCAGGTGTGAAATTGTCTCGAAAGGAGTCTTAATGTTTGGTTTTCCTGGCTGGTTCTACTCTATAAGATTGTGGGTATGATCGTGCTCTACAATGTTGTTTGCAAATCCGCTCTCCTCTTGCCTTTACTTGGCTTCATAAGGAGAAATTTTTAGGCAGATAAACCATGTCAGCCATAGACTAATCAGATGATGAGTGTCAGTTATTTAAGTGAAATATTTGTGCCATCCATTCTCTTCTTACCCATGCTGACATCTCAACCTGAAACCAGGGCTAAACTAGTAAACTGTTGAACCTGAGATATCTCTTTCTGTATGATTTTTGGTGGGTTTTGGTTTGACAATATTCATATTCACTATGTTGGATGGGTTCATAATATTACTGGTAATCAATCTAAACCTACCCACTTACATCACTCTCCTGACCTCTTTATAGATTTTGTCCCAAATCATGTTGAATCAAGACAGATCCAAATAGCTTATCCCATCTAAATTAAGGGCTTAGGTGAGTTGAGTTGCATACAGAGAAGAGGTACACAAGATAGGCTCAAGCATCAGGATTCTATGGTACTTGACATTCACTAATGTATGATAAAAAATAGTTCATACATTCTGCAGATTTTATAAATGGAAACAATAAATATGTCCTTTCTGTTTCTTTGTCCTAACAGTTATTATTTTTTCTTGTCAATTCTTTTATCATCTTACTTCTTTTTCCTCTTTTCTCAAAATTTCAGTTAAGATGCTCATAAGTTGTTGAAACTGCAAATTTTTTTAGCATTAATTTATATCTAAACCTGGTATCATGTGGATCCATTAATTTAATAATTTGTGGTTTTAAGTTTCACTTGACATGTTCTGGGTGTGTTGAAGTCCATATCTTGTAGTATCACAATGCTATAAGCTAATTTACAGTCCATTTTTGTTTCTAATCCAATATAAACAAACAAATTCAGCTTGGGCTTTGGCAAGCCCTATATTGCTCTTTCATTTTCCTATTTTGCGTACATACCTGACTATTTTATTAGATTGGAGTAGGCCAGACTGTCAGAAATCAGGGTCATAGAAAGGTGACCTTGCTGCTTATTCACTTTGAAACCTTGTTTTCACCTGGCTGGAGCAACTCAGAAAAGGATGTGGCCCTGCACTTAACGTTTAGGTAGGATCAATGTGTCATCCAGAACAGAGCCACATTAAAATAGCTGCTGAATTAGGAAAATCATCCAGGGTATTCTGGTGCCGTCTTTCCATCCACTTCCTTTCATTTGTGTAGTAGGACTTAACACGAGTAGGGATGAAATAGCGAAGTGCCTAAATTAATAGAATTTGTGGCAATATTGTTATCCTAAATATTTATGGGCAGCTTGCTTGCTTTCTTTCTATATATAAATATATATTAATATATATATATATTATATATATATATAGAGTTGGGTTGTTGAACCAATAACTGGCCACCTTTGAGAGATTTCTGGGCCAATGTTTGCAGCTAATTAAGGTTCTAACTAGGTGTCTTTTTTAGGTTGAAAAACTATTTCCAACCTTGTTACCTTCCTTTCTTTTCTTTAATAATTCATTTATACGAGTTTATTCCAAACATAGCAATCTGTTTTTTAAGGTGTTTATCAAGTATATATAGAGTTGGGTGTTGAACCAATAACTGCCACCTGAGAGATTTCTGGCAATGTTTGCAGCTAATAAGGTTCTAACTGAGGTGTCTTTTTTAGGTTGAAAACTATTTCCAAACCTTGCTTACCTTCCTTTCTTTTCTTTAATAATTCATTTATACGAGTTTATCAAACATAGCATCTGTTTTTAAGGTGTTATCAGCCAAATTTGTTGTTCTGCATCTGGTTTAATCACATTATCATTGCTAGAAGATGGAGACCGCCAGAAGTACCTCTTCAGGTGCGAAATCACCACTCTAGAACATGCCATTCTGGGCCCATCTTCCACCAGTTGATTGGAACTCAGAAAAAGCAACGACGACAACTGAAATGATATTTGGAAATGTCATGCCATAAACAAATTCCTTATAATGTCTTGGGTTATTCGGCTATGTTTTCTCGGAATAGAGATGATTAATTTGTGATGACATCTGGACACGACGCCTATCCTCGTGATCAAGTCTGGCTAAGAGCTTTTCGGTGTCCTATTTCTTTTCATCATTGATTCAAGTGCACACTCTCTCGGTTCCACAAAACTGTTATCGTTTATCTTCGTAAGCGTGATATTTGTCTTTCCATGGCTTGTTATACAAAAAGTTCAAGAATTTTAAGGCATATCTATGTTTCTCATTTATTTTGGTGCTCTGCTTTTATCTTTTCACACGCTAGAAATTGGAAAAACCATTAAATCAGTAGCATCTTCACTCTCTCTTCTCTGGTTTTGAATATCTAAACAACTGGACAAGTTACTGAAAACTCATTATTTGTGTAGAAATTCAAAGCCCATGTGACAGAAAGTTAAGTCAAACCTATTTACTGAATGTGGTCATATTAATTGTTGTGGAAATGGCTATTGTTGGATTGAAATCCATTCATTGAACTTGATCAAAACAAATTCTAACATATTTGGATGCTGCTTGTTGTTTTCTTTTTTTTTTTTCTTTTTTTTCTTTTCTCTTGTAACAAATTTTGTTTTCTGAAAATTAATATGCAATTTTTGCCACTACATTTAACGTTTGATTGTAGGCTATAACAAAACATTATATGTATTTACAAATGACTTTCATTTGACGGGAACTCGTTTGTCATGACAATGGTAAACTTTTGACACATATTGTATTGCATCGATTTTTAGATACATTCAGCAACAGCTCTATACAATGCTACTGCAATGTCGGCCGTTGGATATTAAAATCAAGATGAATGCCCATGTCTAGTTTCGGGACAGAAGCAGCAAATTATTATTAACATAGAGTATAAAGATGGAGTCTTGCATTAGGCACGATTTGCAGAGAAGGAAGATGCTGCACTGTGGTTAGACCATATAAGAACTTTCCGAAACGGGCAGTGCTTGCGTTTGGGATTGTTAGCTATCTGCTCTGATTCTGATCTTTTCAACATTTCCCACATAACTTGAACATCTTCATATCCGCAGGTCTGTACATCATTGTGAAGCTTCAGAAGTCCAGCACCTGCATAAAAACATAAACTTGTAAGTGGTTTGTGATTATTTGGTATTGTTGCTTTGAGTTTCCATTAAGAAAAATACAACATTCAAGGTATTAAAATTAGAAAAATTAATATTTTATTAGTTCTTTACCAAAAATAAAAACTATCAAAAACTTAAAAAGTTTATATACTAAATTGATTGAAAAGTTAATTTTAAATCAAATTAGATATTTAATGAAAGTTTAAAAGCTAAATTGAGCACTTATCCCTAATTCTTGAATTTCCAATTGGTTGGGTTATATAAAGATGATTTTACTGTATTAAGCATTAACAAAAGATCCTAAATGAAGCTCGACCATTTGGGGGGACATAAATGTCCAGCAAGACTGACTAAACAAATAAATAAGTTACACTGAAATACAAGTTGATCTTATTGTTAGGCCTCATCCTTTTCTTTATTTGTTTTAGGTAAAAAATTTTTTATTTAGCTGGCAAATTTTGTTTTTAGCAATGCCACTTTCAGGCAAATAAAAATTTAAACTTTATTGTTAATTTCTATTAGTGGATTTAGCCTAGTCATTAGTGGATGCAGTAGGTCATCACTAAGAATGTTTAAGCCTGTGCATCTTTCATTTTATTATGGGGATATTAGATATTTAGATTTATATATTATTAATATAAAGTATAATTAGAGTATATATTAAAAAGAAAGGGACTTTTTTGCAATAATTAATGAAACCAGGTACTAGAAGGAACTGACAATTCATACACTGTTAATTTGTCTTTGAGTGAATGTATTCATCATCATTGGATCGGAATCTTCCTGCAATTATTTCTTTTCTATTTGGTTTTTATATTGCCTTTAATGTAATTAAATTAACATTAATTAAAATTAAATAAAAAACAACAACAACAACAACAAAGCACCTGCTTAAACTCTTTATCCATGGTTAATTAATTCTTTTATACTCTATTGGTCTCTGAATATTAATTACTTACCTCTGAGAGTACCAAACAGGTGCAGATGAAGTTAATTAATACTAATTAAATGAACTAAATCTTGTTAAAAAAGACAAGAAGATAAATTTAAGAAATAAAAATTCAGGTAAGAAATGGAAATTTTTTTTTTTTTTTTATTCATACAAAAATGTCCGAGGAGAAGGAAAGAGAAGAAAGTGAAAGTGAAGAAGAAGAAGAACTAACCATTTTTGCGAGGCTTGAGATGAGAAGAAACAGCAAACCAAACTCTTCTAACAGGAAAAAGCATTTTATGCCACCAATCCATTGATTTATCTCCCACTTTCAATTTCCTTTTACTATTCCTTATCTTCCTCCTTCTACAACAGCCGCCGCCGGCCACCACTACCCTGGCTGCTATGCTCTTTAACCCTGCCAGACCTTTCCCTTTCTCTCTCTTTGATATCCGGTGCTCCACTTTCAATGATCACCGCAAACAAAATAGAGAGAGAGAGAGAGAGAGAGAAAGAGAGAAAGGGGATTGGTGGTTTCAAACTCTTGAAATAAGCTCCAGTTCTGCCATAATCAAAGCAGGCAATGAGCTCTGTTGTTTGTTTGTTACAATCTCATAATCAAAACCACCGACACGTGAGCGCTTTTATATACTACTTGTTCTTTTCTTATTCTCTCACTTGTTGTGGCCTAATTTTTGCACATTCCTTCTTCTTTTCTTTGCTTCTATATATATATACATATTATTTTTTAAAATTTGTCCACTTTCTTGTTCTCGAGCCATGTTTATAATTGAAAATATATAATAATAAAAAATAGTAATTAAACTATTAAGCCAATAGTATACTATTTGTTGTTAATATTTTATAATATAATTATTATCTAATTTCCGATATTTGTTTAAAATTACTAGCTCTTTTGCAAAATCACTTATTTGTTATGGGATTTACCTCGTATAATTCGGTCTTTCTATCTAAAAAAATTATATATATTTTAACTGTTAAGTAATTACATAATCAAATATTATAAAATATTTAATAGTAAATTTGATATTTTTTGGATGGAATCAAATAATCTAATGGTGCTAAACCTCACAACAAAGTAGTATTTTTACTAAATAGTAGGATAAGTTAATAATTTCGATCAAATTTTAAAAATTAACACTAACTTTACATCACAAAACATATTGATTTTTCTTTTTTATCTGCTCCAAATTATAATTATATCTTATTTTTTACAAGTGAATAATCTTTATAATTTTATTTTATAGAATTGAGAGTAATAATTAATATGATTGCAAGTGGTTATTATTCTTGGTTTCTTTTTTTTTTTTTTTTGAATAATCTTATAATTTTATTTTATAGAATTGAGAGTAATAATTTAATATGATTGCAAGTGGTTAATTATTCTTGGTTTCTTTTTTTTTTTTTTGTCTATAATTACTGAATATTTAAAAATTATTAGGGACTCTTGCAACCTTCAATCAAAAAAAGAAAAAGTATTAATCACTTCCATCCCGTAATAATGGTAATGTGTTTTTTTTTTTTCTTTTTTTTTTTTTCCTTCCTTCTTGTGCTTGACGATGTAGCACTGTTATTTTTTTTTTTTTTTTTTTTTTTTTTCCTTCCTTCTTGTGCTTGACGATGTAGCACTGTACCAATTAACGGCCAATGCTTTACTATTTATAATAAGCAAAACTTTATTCCTAATAAATACTAATAAAAGAGGAAAAGGAACACGTGGTTAAATTTTTATGGACTTGCTTTTCTTCGCTTTTATATTATTTTTATTTTCTTTTGCTTTTATATTCATTCTAATTAATTGGTTAGGCAGTCTGACTTTTCCTTTTTAAAAAAAAAAGTTTACACGTGTCATGTTTTGATTGAAAATTTTAGCAGAAAGCATAACGGGCGTTTAAGTTGATAATTTGAATTTACTTCGTTAAGTTAAGATTATGAAAAATTCAAAAGAAACGAGAAAATAAAAGAATCAGCTTTTTTTTTTTTAAATTTTATGGCCTACAAAAGGGCCACTGTCGGCAACGTTCAAGTCCACGTGGCTAATCACGTAAGGGCGTCGATAGCTAGTATGTGTCTTCCGTTTCTTGGGAAATATGTCATTGTATATTTATTTTTAAAAATTTAAATAATATTATATAGATTTAATATTTTTATTTTTATCTTTTCATTTCAAAAGTTTTAAAATGCAAATTTTAATTATTTGTAATAGTTGAATTCAGTAATTCAATAATTTAATCTATTATAATTAATAATCTATACTAGTTTTTATTGTATTAATAAAAACTATTTATTTATTTTTCAATAACCAGTAATCTAAACAATAAATTTATTACATTAATGAAAAAGCTCTTCAGATTTTTTTAATAATTAATAACCTTATATCCTTTCAAAAAAATTATATAAATTTTAGGTTTAAGTTTTTCTCTATTTTTCCTATTCATATTCACTTTACAAATTAGTAATAGTATAAGAAAAAAGATTTTGAAACTTCTCTTGATGAATTGTTAAATTTTATTATTAATTATTAGAAAAAAGAAACTGGAAAGTTTTATTATTTGAAAATAATATTATTAATATTAATTAATTAATTAATTAGAAAGCTTACAATATTATTAATGATATTAACATTAACTCAATTAATGTGTAAATTGAAAAAAAAAAATTAAAAAACCACATAAAAACAATTTTTCTTGCCAACTCAGTTATATATTATATATACTTTATGAGTTTCTAATAATATAAGAAAAATGATTTTGAAAGTGTTTTTTTATTAATAATAATGTTATTAATAATATTATTAGTTTTATTAAAAAACTGAAAAATTTTATTATTTGAAATAATATTAATAATATCATTAGGTATATACTTAATTATTGAAAACACTAAAGCACATTTAGTATTATTAAATTAAAAAAATAAAAACAATAAGGTGTTGATTGAAGTGGTTAATGACCATAATTCCCATAAGAGTGAGATCATAAACTCAATCCTTGAGATGTCCATTTTGCTGGTTTGAGGGAATTAAATTTTATAGTCATACAGAAAAAAAAATATATAAATTTTTATTATGAGAAATATGAAATAATATTAATGACATTATCAATAATTATTTAGTTAATGTTTAATATTATTAATGATATTAACACTAATGCTAACTTAATTAATATTTAAATTAATAAAAATAAAAATAAAAATAATATAAAATAAATTTTCTTGTCAATTCAACGCCTTAAAAATTATTTCTCTTGCCACCTCATCGTTCTCTTATTATGACACAAAAAAGAATGTACTTCCATTTTTATATATTTACTTGGCGATCTCTTATGCTTCGCAGATTTATATATATATATATATATTTATTTATAGCATGTGAAGCAAAATAAGAAGGCAAAAAAAGTAAATTATTTATTTTCTTCGTGATTTATATTATTTAATTGTGTAAATAAAAATAATTTATTTCAACTTAAAAGTAACCACAAATTAAATAAAAAAGAAGAAGCTCAATATTGTTTATCTTAATATTGTTTCATGCTTTTCAAATTAAGTGAATAGATATATCCTGAGGGCATAACATTAAATCCCAATCAAGTAATGGATAGGGTGTGAAAAAGATTGCCCACCTTATGCTTAATTTGAAAACGATTTTCTAGCCAATCAAATTGTGACTTGCAATTGTTATTGTCTTAGGATGCCTTTTTATTTTTTTTTTCAAACATCTCTTTCTTTGCTTTTCTAAAATGTGAAAAGTTTCTATTTATTGGAATTTTGGAAGATACCTTGCATTTGCATATGGACCCTATTAAGGCTTTGATACATATATATATATATACACTTTTCTTTATAGTTCCATAGTTTTTGCATATGTTGATAGCTAAATAAGCATGACATAATTATAGACATACCCAACCTTTGACAATTAATATTTCACAAAATTCTAACAAATATTTATTAGTGTTTTTTTTTTTTTTTTTTATATTTTATTAGTGTTTTTTTTTTTTTTTTGTCAGAAGAGATCCTTTTTAAGATAATTTGGGATTATGTTTATTTTGAAATTTTTTTTTTTTTTTTTTTGTCAGAGAGATCCTTTTTAAGATAATTGGATTATGTTTATTTTTTGAAAATGATTTTTCGTGAATAATTTTTCTGAAAAACCATTTTTCAAATTTTTTGTTATTTTGAGTGTTTAGAAAAATAAGTCAATGGAAATCGAAAAATATTTTTCTGGATAAAGAAAAATTAAATCATTTTTAAAGACAATAACTTCTCACCTTGAAGAGACTCAAATATTTTTTGGACATTGACAAATTTATTTTAATTTTGTAAAAATATATTTTTTTAAACTACCGCTACTACCACTAATCGTCGGTCATCATTAACCACTATCACCGGGCACCGTCTTCCATTATCATCAGCGACTATCAAAATTTATCATTTTTTATGCTTTTTCTCATATTAGATAATAAATTTTGAAACACAAAATTCTTGTAATTATAAATATTTTTATGGTCTTATAAATTATAATATTTTTAACTAATTTTTAATATTACAATTAAACAACAAAATAGGTATTTGAAAATTATTTTTCAAAAAAAAAATATTTTTTAAAAAATTTCTAAAAATAAATTATTTTTCTAAAATAAACAGGCAATGAATTTTATCAAGTCTAGACGAAGGCCTACATAAAGCAACGGTGATTACTGACTATTTGCTAGTGCTAATATTTATCTTAAAATAATTTCAACAAAAAATATTTTTCTTAAACATTAATTATTATTATTATTATAAATAAAATTACAGTAACGTTTATATTCTACAAGATCTGGAAAAGTCTCCTCACCTAAACTCATCCATTAGGCTTTGTTTAAGTGTCAGTCTTACGTGGCCCACAGGTTTAATGGCTTTGTTTAAGTGTCAGTCTTACGTGGCCCACAGGTCCCATCACTTTAATCTTTTTTTTAAAAATCTTTTAGTACAAATTTTTTTCTTATATTTAATAATTTTTTATATTATTATCTATTACTCTCCTCCTCCGTTAATTTTATTATGATTTAAATTCTACACAAATCAATAAAATTTAGTTAGTATAATGAAAATATTTTTTTTTATTTTGCTTTTTCTGATATTAGTAAATTACCCTTATATTAATATTTAATTAAAATTATATTAGATTGATAATGAAATTAATCAAATTAATTATTTATTGAATAATCAAGACAATCTCTGAATGCATAAGTAGAAAATGAAATATTAATATTTTAATTTTATTTATAATAAGATTTAATTAATAATAATATACTAATTTGACTAATATATTTATTGGGAAAGATGTATAGTAACTAAATGTAAAATAGTAAATTTTATACATTATTCATTTCTAAAAAGGAAACAGGATAAAAATATGAGAAAGCTGAAAAAAAAGAAAAATAAGACAAGAATTATGAGAAGGATGGTATTAGTGGATAAATTAATTAGTTATTACTTCGTAACTCGCTCTTTTTTTACTTTTGAAATTAATAAAGTGATTAATAGCTAATCATCAATACATAAAGTTTAAAAATTGCTTAGAAAGGAAAAATGACTATGCATGATAATTGCTAAATAATGAAACAATTTGCCAATTTTGAGTTTAAAATGATCATTCAATTAGGATTTGCTTAACATAAATTAACACGATGGTT